ACTGAATAAGAAAATCGCACACAATAATCGGAATGTCCCAAATCGCTGATATACCGTCCGAATATGGATCGGGCGAACGCAGCAGAAGTCTGCCTCACGTTGGCTCCGGCTCTGTCAATCCGTCCATTCAAACATTCCAGCTAAAATAATGAAAATTGCTTACGTAAATCTAATGAATCGAATTCCTTCGTTCATAAATACCTCTGCCCATGATGTTAGCGATTAAACATTTATCAGTGTCATACCACATTAACCTTACAACCCCGTTCCGCTGGCCGCCATGCATTCCTTATATGACGTTAACTGCCAACACAGTCCGGTATCCATGGTAGCACGTCAACAGCACCACTGAAGCGGCTCTTTATAACTATCAACTACACCGTCTCGTCGCACCAACGAGCTTGTATGACGTCACGCGTCTAACCGTCAAACATCCATTTCCCTTCCGCCCTTCGGCTACTAGCTGACGATAAATGGCCAGTAACAGTTCACCCGTTCCGCGAATCCATTGTATTTCTGTGTTCGGCCGTGTAGCTGTGTAACCGGGTCGACTGACCCCGTATCGAGGAGACGGCCGATACAAAGTACTGTCACGGTCGATACGGGCCGTCAAGTGACGCGTGAGTCGCCCTCGGTGGTGGAGACGGTAGTTGTGAGCCGGCAGTGGTGGTGCGAAATTGCGGGGAACTTCTCATAGTTATCATTGATCGATAACATGGTGTGGAAATTGCGAGAAATCACGCACAACACGCACGTTCTTTGCGAAGGTAAGCATTTATTTCCCCGTATTGTGTGTGCCTGGTGACGCCTCTGCGCCCCCCGGTGGCTGGTGACTGACTCCGCCTCTGCGCCGACAGGGGCTTCACCATGCTGAACACATTTATCAACCACTACGTGAGACAGCGCGAGGACGGAGGACCGTCGCCGGCGCCTCTGCCCGCCAGCTCCGGCCCACTGGGCAGTAAAACGGAGGCGGCGCCTCAGTTCGAACAGAGACCCATGGGACAGGTGAGACAACACGACCGGGAATAGGGCCCAACTGCGGGGTAAAACAGGGGGCTTCTTGGTGTCGCATATACTTGTGATACTATGTAATGACTTTTCTAGGCTCGAACTTGACTATCATGTTACACATCAAAGTCGTCACGAGTAAACAAGTCTTGTGCATCTATGTAGCGACTAGCATCACATTTATCGAAATTTTAATGCCTCAGAGTTTAGACTTTAGATACCCTATAACAATAAAATATTCGGCCAAAAAGATGTTTGCCAAAGAGATCAAAAGACACCCATTCGTGGTGAATTACAGGAATTCATAATATTTTGAAGTCGTTCATAAATGACAGTCAGCCGTCATATGTTCGTCAATCATTGGGGGTTGAAACATTCCTGTGATAGGGATTCCTGAAATTTCCCCTTGTCCAACAGTTGAGGAAGCTCTCCCAACCACCGACGACTAGCTGACTGGGTTACATGGGCGAGCAAATACGCTTCAGGAACGGATTTTCCTATTCGCTCACTATTGTAGTCCGTTAGTAAAACGCATGTACTCTGTTCATGTAACCCCGGTCTGTGATACCTCAACTCTTCCGCACTTGCGCAATCCTCATAGCCGCCACAGACATCGCGCTGGCTTCCTGCCTTGCGGTACAGCCTACCACTTCAGGCGCTAACACTAGAGACATCTAGCGACAAAACTGCAAGCGTCGCGAATAGGGCCGAGGGAAATGCAACCGCAATTTAACATCGACCAAGTTACTCTGTTTAGTTATTGATTCGGTTCAAATCATGTAATATGTTTATTTGATAGAAAATGGTGTGCTTTTTCAGCTAATATAGATTCTAGCGACAGACAGACGTCAGCTTTGTTACTGGTTCGAAAATCGCGGACCCGTTTGGACACTAACCTGCAGGGGAACGGGCTCTCGAGCCAGACCTATACCTACCTGACCGATAACGTTTATTCGGTGCCCATAAAACACATTAATTAACCTTTACTTGACCTGGGCAGTACCGTGGAAGGGACACGACCCTCTAACGATTGGCTAAGCTATATGACACTACAACGACAAATTTGTAGGTTTTAGGTAATTTGTAGGACCGCGAATATCTCACCATATTTTCTGTGGCATTCCCCCGCCCCCTATAAATGTTATCGCGCCACGCCTATATTTTTAACCCGCGCACCGACGGGGGTCTGCGCCAACTTCGCACCGACGGGGGGGGGCGGATGACCGCCCCCCCTGAGATCTCGAGAACGAAGCAAGATAGCGACAAGCGGTAAACGGCATCGGATACGCACGGACAAGGTCTACAATTTTTACTAAGGTCATTTTCAGGTCAGGTCAAAGATGACGTCACAGGGGTCGAAAAAGTCAAAATGGCGGCGCTAGATATTGTAACGTGCGTCTCTCTCGGTTAATTGCTTATTGTTGTTTGTCTCCGCTAACCGTCGCTTCTATTTTAGTGGGTTTAGGATTAATTAGTTTGTAGTTTGATTTTACCTGCGTGGTGGCCCTATTTCAATTAGACATTTTCAACGTTCATTACTTCACTGTATCTCTCCCGTGCGGGGCCGACTTTGCCGACTTCGCCGAACTCCGGCCGAGACCACACGCCGCTGCGCTGCCGTGCCGCCGCGCCGCCGCCCAGCCGTGGCGCCGCGCCGCCGCCCAAAGCCGGTTCGTCACGGTGTCACGCATGTCCATCTTCTGAGGATTTAGCGGCGCGCGCTATTCAACTATCTCGGCTCTGCCCTGTACTTAACAAAGCTTTAGATCTACCGTTTACATACTTGTCCATCATAGTTTAGTCACACTTAGTCAGTACCGGGTGAGCCTCGGGCAGTGCACCTCCCACCTCCGACGAAGTAGTGACCAATCGCAAACCGTGTAACCATATATGAAATGTTCTCCTGGCCAATAGTAAGCTGCCACGCAGGCTAGAGGGCTACGCCCTAAGAGTAGGATAGCTTTGCTGAAGTCTCCCGATCGGGGGGACTGGCAGAAGACCCCCGGCGGCCACTGAGGCCGGACGTGTACCTGCATCGGTCTCGACCGACACTGTAGCTGACCACCTCGCTCTGTGTTGTGCTCGACAATACATCTGGACCGGCAGAGCATCTCTTCTGGTAAAGGGCTGACAACAACACCGGCGCGCCCCGTCCTGGGCACGAGAAACCGCCGTGTTACATTGGTGCCGCTGACGTCGGATCGAACCTGCCGAAGAAGCCGTCTTCTCACTTCCATCTGCTTCTTCGTGCGCCGATTCTATTCTTCAGTCCGAACTCTGCCGCTGACGAACTCTGCTGCTGACAAACTCTGTCGATGACAAGTACCTGGTCATCGTTGCTGAACGACAGCTGCTACTAGCCAGCTCTCACGGCTACTACATCTGCCGATACTTCACAGTGAGCCGCTGAACAATACCGCTCCAAAGTGAGTACGCCAAAACTTGGCACCGTTTGTCTTCGTCTGTGACAGTCTGAGGTACAAGTACCCGTACCGGTAACAGCCATAAAGGGCCCTGAAATCAGAACTGTACCAGTTCAGGCCCCGATCTGCCCGAGTTATACGGCAGCCATCTCAACCAGCGCTCGATCTAAGCCGCTGATAACTCCAACCGACCGTCTCTCGTCATCGAGACAAGGTTTAACAGGAAAGAGAGTTCAACTCGCGCTCTCCAACGAGGTCAACTGACGTCATCAGAGAGGCCAACTGACACTCTTCTGCGAGGCATCTTCATCGAGTGGCTTCAAAAGCGTTCAACGCCCAGCGCTACAACAGACTCTCGCGCGTAATCGAAACAATCCGTCCCGGTGCGTAGTGAAAGTGATAGTGGAGTGATAGTTAACGAGTGAACGACCCATCTTCGGTGACACCAACAAAGGTACGTCTCGACATCTCCCGAGTGGCATTTGATTTTTTTTTGTTTCTGTTAATATCAACGTAACGCTTATCCATTCTATTTTTGATATTTCTGGCTCTTTGTCGCTTCAAGGATGGCTCAAAACGAATCGTCTCGTTCGCATGCTCCCGCTTCTGCTTCCTCAAGCCAAATGATCAATGCAATGATGCACGGTTTCGGTGTTCTAAAGAACCAACTTATGACTAACCAGTCGGTGTCGGGCAAACATCATTTTGATGGCACAAGTGGTGAGCATTTTATCAAATGGCTTGCTGAAATGGACAACTTATACCTAGCACTGAAAGGCGACGAGGAACAAACTCTTTGGGCTGCTAGTCAAACACTTAAAGGCACAGCTCTTGATTACTTCCATGAGGTATCTCCGTCTATTGATTCTTGGGCACGATTCAAAACTCTCATGACCCAACGTTACCACTACCTAGACGATGCGGATACAGCGAAACAAAAACTGCAGAATTTCGTACAGAGGCCGAATGAATCAATACCTCACTACGCAGAGCGACTCCAGGCGCTCTCCCGTCAGGCCTACAAGGAAAAGATAGATGAATCCGGTGTGGTAGAGGCAATTACTAGGACTTTTATCAACGGAATCACAGACAGAAAATTGCAAGAACGCATAGCGACTCGCCGACCTAAAAGCCCGACGGAAGCATATCACATAGCCATGGACCAGATTAAGCTAATGACAGAACTAGCTACTTACCGTGATCACTCGAAAGGGAAACCAGAGCCAATGGACTGCAACGCTGTGACACCTGCTCCCGAGCCCCCTGCGCAAAATAGCGACCTGTCTGAGGTCAGAGATCTACTAGAAGTTCTAGTCAGGCGCAGTGACGATTCTTTCCAAGTCAGACCGCAGGTTCATCAGAGCTATCAACAACCGAGCCCTTATCAGGGATATCCACCACCAGTCAATCAACCGCCCCCTGGCCAGTTCTTCCAACGACCGCCCACTCAGCCGGGCCAACAGCGTCAGAACCCTGGTAATTTTAAACAGAACCCTAGGCCAAAACCGGTCTATCAATGGACGTCCGACCAACGGCCGATCTGCTACTACTGCGGCCTGATAGGCCATGTACAACGTGTCTGCCGAAAGCGACAGGCAGCGAACGCTTCTGCTCAGCGTCCGCAAAACCAACCGCAAAACCAACAGCAAGGTAGGCCAAACAGAGGTCAACCGCAGCCGGGAAACATGTAAAGCCTCACACCGATTCAGCGACAGGCGGTACAGAGACCGCTCAAATTTTGAAAATTAACGAGAACTGCCCGTATGTCGACATTTCTATTGGGACGCACCCCTTTCATACACTTTTGGATACCGGCTCGCAACTCTCGCTCGTCAGTGGAAAATTTGTGGAATTACTGGAACCGTCGCTGGTGAGACCAGCCGAAAAACAAAAAGTTACCCTCGTGTCAGCTTCTGGACACAAACTGAAACCAACCAGATCGGTCAAAATACGAATCACTCTCGGAAAGGTGCGCATGTATCATGATTTTGTTGTAGTAGACGGCTTCAACCATGATATGATTTTGGGTATCGATTTCTTGAACGCTAGGAAAGCGCTGCTAGACTTTGAGAACCAAACCATGATCATAGGAAGGTATGTGTACCCACTCAAAACGAAACAAGGAAAGAGTGCTAGTAAAGAAACAAATTTAGTGAGACTCGCGGAGGACGTAGACGTCTTCCCTCGTTCGGACTTACAGGTCAAATGTGCGATCACAAAGAAAAATAAACCAGGTGAAGGCTTCGTCGTTACTCAGCTTCCCTCGTCTCCGTGTTTCGAAAACGAACCAGGTATTCTCCTACCAAACGCCGTTGTGAAGCTCTCGAAAAATCGCCATATCCCCTGGGCAATTGTGAACGAAACGGGAAGGTATTTGCATTTCCGAAAAGGACAAGTTATTGGAGTAGCTACAAAAATTGCCGATTCAGAACTTGAACCAAGCATTTCATCAATATCGAAATCAGAGGAGAACGTGAAAGAGACCTCAGATGATAAAATTCGTTCATTCAAGTTAGATCACATCCCAGACGATCAAAGAGACCAATTGAAAACGCTTCTACTTGGTAACATGGACATATTTGTTGAAAAAGATACAGAATTGACCATGACCAATGTGACCGAAATGAGAATCAATACGCAAGATCATCCACCAACATACCAGGCCCCAAGGCGACCGCCACTCGCTTATCGAGAGGCGTTAGAAAAACAAATTCAGGACATGCTAGCTGCCAATGTCATCCGCCGGAGCAATTCACCGTGGATGTCACCTGTTCTGTTGGTCCCCAAAAAGGATGGCTCTCTCAGACTTTGTGTAGACTTTCGAAAATTGAATGCTATTACGGTCAGGCCAGCTGCAAGCATCCCGTCGGCTGACGACATATTCTTCGCGCTCGGAAAATAAAAGTTCCGCACTTGTCTGGATATGAAGCAAGGTTTTTGGCAAATCCCTATTAGAGAAGAGGACAAAGAAAAGACTGCTTTTGGCACAGATGCAGGCATTTTCGAATATAATCGGATGGCTTTTGGTCTTTCTGGCTCGCCAGCTGTTTTTCAAAATTGCATGAATGCTGTTCTAGGAGATATCCGTCATTTTGCCCTAGCGTTTGTAGATGACATCATAGTATTCAGTGAAACACTTGAGGATCATCTGAAGCACCTAGATGAAGTATTCGCCAGGCTGCGAAAAGCCAACCTAAAATTAAAAATTTCGAAATGTGAATTTATCAAGGACAAGCTCAACTATTTAGGTCATATCATTTCAAATGATGGAATTTCGGTCGACCCCCAAAAAGTCTCAGCAATGCAAAACATGCAACCTCCCCAGAATGTGCGAGATGTCAGAAGTTTCCTAGGCATGGCGTCATACTACAGAAAGTTTGTTCCAAATTTCAGTAAATTAGCGAAACCTTTAAATTCACTGACAAAGAAACATGCCAGATTCCACTGGACGCCCGGAGCACAAAGCGCATTCGAGTCAATCAAACAAGCACTTCTCCAGGCCCCGATCTTGGCTTTCCCAGACATAACTAAACCTTTTAAATTGTACACCGATGCTTCTCAGTACGCTTTAGGCGCAGTTTTGATGCAAGAACACGACGGCCAAAACCGGGTCATTCAATACATTTCGCATCAGTTTTCGGAGCAAAAACTAAAATGGCCTACTATCGAGCGCGAAGTGTTTGCTATCGTCTATAGTTTGGAAAAACTCCGACCGATTATCATTGGTACCGATATAACCGTTTATACAGATCACAAGCCGCTCAAGCATTTGTTCACGAGTGAAATGAAAAATCCTCGTATCCAAAGATGGGCTATTATCCTCGGTGAATACGGTTGCAAAATTGAGTACATTTCCGGCCCTCAGAACGTAGCAGCTGACATGCTGTCGCGATTGCACAATACCCCAGTAGCAGGTGAACTGAACGACAATGAGCACCTCGACTGGCAAGGAGAGTCGATGAATGTCAATGTAGTCGACAACCAGGTACAATTTGATGCAGATGAAAATGATGTCAACCAAAAACCACTAGACTATCACGGTATCGACGCAAATTCATTACGAAAAGCACAACGGAACGACCCAGAATTGAAACAAATTATAGCGGACCTTCAGTCAAACGATGAAAGCAACCCAAATAGCCAGAGGTATTGTTTAGACGACGGACTCCTTTATCACATAGAGAAAAGCACGAAAACCCGGCCACTTACTAAACTCCAACTTGTTTTGCCACCTGAGTTTAGGAAAATAGTCCTTCAGAGTGCTCATGACGGTTATTTTGGAGGCCATTTGGGAATCGAGAAAACGACTGACAAAGTGCTCAAATCATACTATTGGCCCTCGATGCTGAAAGATGTCATGCAATATGTCTCGTCATGCGACACGTGCAACAGAAAAAGGCTCAACAAAGAAAGACGGCCAATGCAGGACATGCCTATGCCTTCAGCTCCCATGGAAATCATCGGTATAGACACGTGTGGTCCATTTCCCGTCTCAGACAAAGGGAACAAATATGTATGCACGATTGTTGATCACTTTAGCGGATGGCCAGAAGCATGGGCTATTCCGGACAAGTCGGCAAATACCATTGCAAAATTACTCTTGGAAGAGTTTATCCCGAGGCACGGCTGCCCACGAACTATCATTAGTGATCAAGGTACAGAATATTGCAATGCGCTCCTGGATCTAGTCAATCGCGAATTAGGAATTTCACGAGTCAGAACGTCCAGCTATCACCCCCAGTCAAACGGAAAGACTGAGCGATTCCATAGGTGTATGAACGACATGATTAGGAAACAAATTAGTGAAGACCAAACGAAATGGGATGAAGTTTTGCAACCATGTTTAGGCGCTTACAGGGTGAGCAAGAATGAGTCTACTAAATACTCGCCCTACTTTATCATGTACGGTAGAGATCCCGTTCTACCAGTCGACACGCTCCTGCAACCTAGATTACGGTACTTTGGCGAGGACTACGTCCCAGTCATGTTCGAGCATTTGCATAATGCTTACGCACATGTTGTTGAAAACATGCAGGAAGCTAGAGATCGCAACAAAGCTCAGATTGCACAAAACGCAAACCCTTCAGACTTTGCACCCGGTGACCTTGTTTACTATTTTGACCCTTCAGTGCAACCGGGCGATACTCCTAAATTCACGTTACCATGGAAAAACCATTTTCGAGTAGTTTCTAAATCAGGCCCGGAGAACTACTGCATCAAGAACATGTTAACGGGCAAAGCAAAAGTAGTACATTCAGAGAACCTACGTCGGAAAGACGAAACTGATGTTTGGGATAGAGTTTACGATGTAGTGAAACGTCCCCTACAGGTAGGTATCCGTCCGGAAGAGGAGCCTATTCGTCAGCAACCACTCCGTGCCGCCCGGTTACCGTTAGGTGACCAACCCTGGTTTGCTTCCATGAGCACACCAAACCCTATAGATGAACCAAGAGAAGGCACTCCAGATATCCAGGAAGAGGGCAACGGTCCTCTCCCTGAGAACCCTTCAGTAACATTAGATGATCCCAGCGTGTTTAACTCACCACAGTTACCGGACAGTGGAGAGCATGGACCGTCATCGCCGTTACCACAGAGGCTACATGGATACAACCTCAGGTCTCGAGCTCAAACGGACGGGCCTCTAGAAGGGTATGAGTACGTACGAAGACCTTACGTAAGGAAACGAAATGACAGTTTTGATGAGTGCCCGCCAGACAAAAGACCTAAGGTCCAATCGGGAACTGACTGCCTGGCAGTGATAGCTAGCAGTCCTAATGATGTTGAAGTTCAGCAGCCATTTGCTGAGATGACTCACCATGATCGCAGTGAATCATCAGGTTGGATCCGAAAGCTCTTTTGTTTAAAGTTTATGCATTGAGTATGGCTCTCCTCAGCTCAATGTAATAAACAGTCGTTGTGTTTCAGACCATGGCTGTCACAACGATGCTGAGTCGATGGCTGCTGCTGCTCACGGTAACAAACGTGATTGATATTGCTTATTGCGCCGCTCTCCCTACTGACCCCGGACATCTCTTCATACCGCTTGGAAAGACTTACCCAAGTTATAGCTCATGGGCTATCACCCTGTCAATAAGCATGAAACCCTATCGCCAAGATGTCAGTAGAATCAATGATGCTACCGACCAAATATTCCGCACTGCGCGGACGCTAATCGCTAATCACCCACCGCTTGCTAACGCCACCACCGCTGACCCCGCTCATGCCTCACTAACTCTATCGCTCAGGCATCTGTCTCACTCCATTCATCAGCTGCAGACGGAGGAGAACCATCTCGTTGACACGTTTCGTGACCTACTGTCCATTCCTGAGGCACACAGCTCTGCACGCTCGACCAACTCCATTCGTCGAACTGGCCGCTCTAAACGTGTTAAGCGAGGACTGATTGATGGCATCGGAAGCGTAATGTCATCTTTGTTTGGAACTGCTACTGAAAGTGAAATCAAACACTTGGATCATAATGTTCAGCTTATCAATGCCAAGGAGGTCGCTATGGCTCACGCATTTAATGGTACCCTTCACGTCATCAACTCTACTAGAGTCGCTAGTACGCAAAATCGTAAAGCTCTTCGTACTCTACAATCAGCGATGAGCTCAATGAGCGCATCACACTTACAGTTGATGAGGGCTGCCGACAATGCCGACAAACTCATAACAGTATCGCTTCGAGTAGCCGACCTAGCTGAAAATGTAGGACAAGTTACTAGAAGCCTCAATCACCTTTATACTTCGTTGGTATCGCTCTCTAGCAAACTCGCTCTGGCCCAAGTGGGAATCCTCCACGCGGACCTTATTCATTCACGTGACCTCAACCGTGTCCTTCGTAAGGTGAGCAAAAGCCTTCCGGCACATTTTGCGCTGCCTTTCCCGCCTTCGGCTACTCGCGACTACGTTCGCATTGTCAAAACCAAGCTAATTCCAGTCGATGATGCTTTTCACGTCCTTTTCTACATTCCGCTGCTCCATACGCTCCATGCGTTTGACGTTTATCGCTTCTTCCCTTACCAGGTTCCGCTTCACGGCCATAACATTTCTCTTCTCTACGTTCCCAACGAACCCCGCTATTTGGTTGTATCAGAGAACAGACAGCAATACATCCAGCCTGTCGACTCTGAGATCGAAGCTTGTCTTCTGGTCAAACAACCTTTCTGCCCTCTTCACGAGCCTGCCTACTCAACGGCAAACGCGGATTCGTGTGTCGTGGCTCTTTTCCGTCAGGACGAGCACGCCATTTCTCGTCTCTGTGCTCCAATTGTCCGCCCTACGAACGATGCTCCCAAAGCTCATTACCTTTCCCGAGGCACGTGGCTAATAGTCTCTCGCCCTCCTCTGTCCATCACCATCGTCTGCCCGTACAATAGTACCACGCTATCCATTTCGTCGCCAGTTCGCCTCCTAACCTTGCCCATGGAATGTTCCGCTTCTAGCGACTCTCTATATCTTCCTCCTTATTACGCTAGTGAGACTCACCTCGACTTCCCCGATTTTGATGATTTGTTTACAGTCTCCAATGATTCTTCCCTGATCCCAATCTGGCGTTCACACTGGGCCACTGCTATTCCAACCGCGCTGCAGTCCAACGTCTCGGTTATACCCAAGCTTCATGTAGACGGTATGCCGGCTGATGACTACTTTAATCGCGTCGAGTCCCTTCCCCTTGAACAGGTTATTGACGATACACCATCCGCATTCTCATATACTTGGCTACTAATTATCATCATCAGCGTTCTTGCCGCTTGCTGCATGTGCTTCTGCATTAAACACTGCTGCCCACGCTCCATGGCTACCTACCGCTTACCCCGCTTTGTCCCCGCTTCTGCTACTCGAGACTTTCGTGAGCCAGCCATTGAACTCGACGAGCGTCATCCTGTGCTCGGCCCGCCAGCAGCCCCACCGGGCAGCCAACAGAGCCTGCCAATGGAACCTGTAGACGATGCACCGGCATCACTCAGCGCTCAGCCTAGTGCCACAACGGATATGCCGCGACGGGCCGCGTATGGCCACCGACCGATGCCGTCTCTACGGCTGTCGCCAGAGGTGTGAGGCCTCTTTGCTCCCCTTCCCCCAGTGTGCGAGCGGGTGTATGTGTATGCACGGCGCCGAGCCTGCATCACAATGGACCAAGGGACTATCCGGGTCACTGATCTACTCAGTGCACCGCTCCGAGCGCAACCGTGCGCCCTGCGCACCAGCAATCTGGGTCACCAGTTGCCTCACCGGCTCACGATCCAGGTCATCAACTAACACCGTGGGCTACGATGACTCACGTCATGGACTGCAACCACTGCTTCCGTGCACTGCAGCGAGTGCACAAGTGCTATTCGTCGCGTTCGTCCGTCGCGTTCCGCGTTCGTCCGTCGCGTTTCCCACCCTCCCTCCCTGTGTTGTGTTCTCGTCGTGCCTGTTGTGTGCCTTGCGTCCTTCGCCCTTCAGGCGTCGGACTCTGCTTTGTCCTGGCCAAAGCTCTTGCCCTGGGTGGGGGAGGTGTGTAACGTGCGTCTCTCTCGGTTAATTGCTTATTGTTGTTTGTCTCCGCTAACCGTCGCTTCTAGTTATTTTAGTGGGTTTAGGATTAATTAGTTTGTAGTTTGATTTTACCTGCGTGGTGGCCCTATTTCAATTAGACATTTTCAACGTTCATTACTTCACTGTATCTCTCCCGTGCGGGGCCGACTTTGCCGACTTCGCCGAACTCCGGCCGAGACCACACGCCGCTGCGCTGCCGTGCCGCCGCGCCGCCGCCCAGCCGTGGCGCCGCGCCGCCGCCCAAAGCCGGTTCGTCACGGTGTCACGCATGTCCATCTTCTGAGGATTTAGCGGCGCGCGCTATTCAACTATCTCGGCTCTGCCCTGTACTTAACAAAGCTTTAGATCTACCGTTTACATACTTGTCCATCATAGTTTAGTCACACTTAGTCAGTACCGGGTGAGCCTCGGGCAGTGCACCTCCCACCTCCGACGAAGTAGTGACCAATCGCAAACCGTGTAACCATATATGAAATGTTCTCCTGGCCAATAGTAAGCTGCCACGCAGGCTAGAGGGCTACGCCCTAAGAGTAGGATAGCTTTGCTGAAGTCTCCCGATCGGGGGGACTGGCAGAAGACCCCCGGCGGCCACTGAGGCCGGACGTGTACCTGCATCGGTCTCGACCGACACTGTAGCTGACCACCTCGCTCTGTGTTGTGCTCGACAATACATCTGGACCGGCAGAGCATCTCTTCTGGTAAAGGGCTGACAACAACACCGGCGCGCCCCGTCCTGGGCACGAGAAACCGCCGTGTTACAATATAGAGAGAGTTTTTCTCGAATAACTTTCGAATTAGTCAAGATAGGAACAAACTAAGGGCATCATCGTGATCTTCTCGTCAATCCGCATCGAATGATATATATGTTGACCTCGAAAGGTCAAGGTCAAAGGTTGACCTCAGGTCACGTGACCTCGAGGTCATCATGTATATCATTCGATGCGTCTTGACGAGCTGAACACAATGAGACCATCCGCGCGGCTGTATCTTGTTTCTGTACGGAGTTATTGGCAAAAAACCTTTGGTGACCTTTGATGACGTCACATGTCCTTACAGCTGCCCAACAGCAAAACAGACCTCAAGGTAGTGAAGATTGATCGTATATGAAGTCATGTATGGTATATGGGGCCATTCCGACGCGTTTTAGTGGTAAAAACAGGGAGTTGATTTTTCCCCCATTGACTTATAATGGGGAGGTCGCGAAATTGACCTGACCTTAGGTCACCGACATCAAAATTCCGAGATATACAAATTGTAGATACTAATGAATTAATAACATCCTGCGACTTTCAAAGGCCTCCGACATCTACTGTAGCTCTGGCACGGTGACAAATTTGCAAAAAAGTGACTTGAGGTTGGGTCATTCAAAGTGACCTGGTGACCTGACCTTAAAAGTTAGGAGGTTCAAACTTGCACACCATGTGTAAAATTGATGAGAGAATAGTCGTACCAAATTTCGCGGCGCTACGCGCCGCGGTTTTCCCGCTATTCGCGAAAAACCTCAGGGGGGGGCGGATATCCGCCCCCCCCGTCGGTGCGCGGGTTAAGATGGGTAGTGCTTCTGTGGTTTTGTGTGTGTGTGTGTGTGAGAGAGAGAGAGAGAGAGAGAGAGAGAGAGAGAGAGAGAGAGAGAGAGAGAGAGAGAGAGAGAGAGAGAGAGAGAGAGAGAGAGAGAGAGAGTGGATCACGGGGAGGGTTAGGTTGAGATCAATATTACTCCATAACTCTAACGCGTGTCTCCCGCGGTTTTTGGCGCGCCGGCAGACCAACTGGCGGGAGCAGGCGCTGCGCCGCCGAAAGGTGGCCGACTGTCAGATCATTGGCTGTGTCATCACCTCCGGACTGCTGATCCTGCTCGCCGGACTCGGCATGTTCCTCGCGGCCTGGTTCGTCCTCGGCAGTAAGTTTACGCGGCAAACGGACAGCGATGGGAGGGTGATGCTCAATTGTAGGTAATGATAATGTAGGTAATGATGACGACGCTGATTTTTAGGCAATGATGATTCGGGTTTTACAGCACGCAGACTACGGACATTACTTATCATCGCCGGAACAATCTACCGTGTCAAGGAAAAACATAGTAAGCGCCAATGTAAACAAAAATGAGTTAGAGATGCTAACGGGGGTTTTCGGGAACGACGGATTCGTTTCTGGTATCGCTTTTTTCATAACTTTCTCCAAAACTGAGATATTAAAGGGGTAGAATATAGCAAGTCCAGTGGCGTCTTCCGTTTGGCAAAGAAAAACACAGCATGTGACAAGTTGCTGCATGCTAGGTTTTACCTCGACCAAAGAGACCTGAACATCCCATTTTGCGCTGATGTGCATTGTGATACAGTGTCGTATACTAGGTTTTCGCCCATTCGCGACTTCCGCGCTTTAGGTAAAGCCCACTCCCCTGGTTGGGTCTGTCTGTTAACTGCTGGCTACATGAGCGAGCTTGATGGCACATCAAGGTTGGTGCATGTAATGTAGCACCTTGATGTGCTCTAGAAAACCTTAACTTCGCTTCACCGCCCCGGAGTCCCTATTGCAACTTATCAGTGTGAACCCCGATTTTTGAACTGAGGAGAGCCATACTGACAAACTTTCGCGGTGTCCTTGAGCGGGCCGACGTCTGCTGCGTGTGCCGAGCCGCCGAGCCCCGGTGGTACGAGTTGGAGTGGCAGGGGTGCCGGATCCAGTATCCCTGCACCTCTTCCTGACGTTCCCAAGGAGTTTCTGAGGGACCCAATGTAATCTATGTCTGCGTCTCATGCGATGCCGATTGCGTCTAAAGAGCACGATATCAGGGTGTGTGAAGTGCGTTAGCGGGATAAACCATTTTGATTTGGGTTGGGTTGAAGTATAGCGAGAGATACTGATGCATGCCGAGGCACTGTAGTCAGCCAGCATGATGATGAGATGGCGTACACTGTAGATATGCAGGTGTAACTTCTTAAAAAATGACCGTGGCCCCGTTCACGGGGACCTGCGGTAGCTGCGGCTCCGCGGTCAGCCGCGGGATCTATGGCCGCGGGTAAACACCGAGCTGCAGCTACGGCAGGTGCCCATGAACAGCACTCGTGAAAATCACTTCTTTATGAGCCGTCTGGTCCATAGGCGTAGGAACAGGGGGGCCGGGGGGGGGGGGGCGGAGGGCCATGCCCCCCCCCCACCCACTTTTCAGCCTTTTTTAAGGAAAAATCTTTATTTTTTATTTAAATACAAAACTTAGAGCAGGAAATGGTTCAGCAAGGTAAGATGAGCACAAAACCACAAAGAATTTATTCATAGGGGCGGGCATTCTTGAAATGACAACTGTTTCAGTTTTGTTGACAACCTATTTCATAGATAAAGCATATCTGGCACAGAAAAACGTAGTAAGTAACCATGCTAGGTTTTTCCCTATTCGTCCAATGCCACAGCTAATCTAGCAAGTCCACATTTATATTATTGGTAAGCATTTGAAAAATTTGAATAGCATTTCTGAATTGCGCACATAAAATACATATAGAAACACTATTCAGGTTGATGCATGTTATGCGCATCTGCTTAGGCTAGCACACGTTAACGTTTCCTCGTTTTTCTCCGTTTCGTCACCTTGACACTTACTAGGTTCTTCAAAAATAGGGTAGCAATGTTCACAATTTTAAATCCTAAATACATAATATGATACGTGCCACTACTGCTAACTGCGCTCCAATCGCCTAAGGCTAGTTAGTTCATCCTGATTCAGTCCCCTGTCCCTGTGTAACGTCACCACTTCTGTGACCCAGGGAGGACGACCCGTTCATCCCGTTTGGTTCATATATGACGTCCTCGCTGATCTGTGACCTCAGCGGAGGACCCGTTCGTCCTAATTGGCTCATATATGACGTCACCACTGTTCTGTCTCTGTGACCCCCAGGGGACGACCCGTTCATCCTGATCAGTCTATAGTGACGTGTGTATGATGTCACTATTTTGTAACCCGCAGAGGACGACCCGTTCATCCTGATTGGTTCATGTATGACGTCACCACTATTCTGTGACCCCCAGAGGACGACCTGTTCATCCTGATTGGTTCATATACAACGTCCCCGCTGTTCTGTGACCCCCCAGAGGACGACCCGTTCATCCTGATTGGTTCATGTATAACGTCACTGTTCTGCGGCCCCCAAAGGACGACCCGTTCATCCTGATTGGTTCATGTATGACGTCACCACTATTCTGTGACCCCCAGAGGACGACCCGTTCATCCTTATTGGTCCCGTGTTCGCCGGCTGCGGTATCGTGGTGCTTCTGCTCAGCGTGGAGGTATGCGTTCGACGCCAGAAGGTCATCAAACTGACAGAGGACCTTAGCTCAGGTCAGTGGCAGGGGTTATCAAACTGACCTCAGTTCAGGTCAGAGATGAGGGCGGACAGGGGCCGTTAAACTGACCCCAGCTCAGGTCAGTGTGACAGTGTGTTAGACGGACAGAATAGGCGCATGAAAAAAAGAGAAGCAAAAAGAGTAAAAAGACCAATTCAGCGTTTGTTCCTGTTCTTGCTTTACAACTTTAAATCTGCCGAACGGCATGGTACAACTTAAATACATTGCCTCCTTCGAGAAAATAACGTTTCCCTTTTCATCTTTTCATGGGGTGCTCGTCCATTTCATTCAAAAAATAATATCGACTCCAGCTTCTTGCGGTCGCACTTCGGCTTGGCCGTTCCGCCCCGCATCACCCGGCTGCGTACTTTTCTTGCGGTGCCCCACGGAAGAGTAGAAACGGTGAAAATGGGCATGTTTTGTAGGCTTCCCAGGGTGATGAATGAGTTTTTGCAGCGTTGTGATGAGGTCGACATATTTCATGATTCTTTATCTCGCGTCAGGTCTTGTATTTTAAGGTATGTTAAGAGTGCTTGTTCTCATAGCGCTTGAAACGATTTTAGCATGTTTAGTGCTCGCATTTGTTTTATTTTCAAATTTATTCCAATTATTTTATCTTGTACTTTAGCAAAAGGGAAAATTTTATGAAGACTGTGTATGGTTCATGTATTTTTATTGTGCTGTGACTTTGGCCGTAAATGGGCATGTCCCGTGGCTGATATGGTGAATAAATGAAATGAAATGAAATGAAATTCAACCCCTAAATAACTCGTGTATTTAACTTCGCGTTCATAATGCAAACTGGGCGGTGCCGGATCAACAATTACATGGCAACTTTGCGTGGGTTTTGCTAAGTTGCCATGCGATCGATTGAACTGGCCTAGGAGCGTTAACAAGCACACTCAAAGCGGAATGCATTTGAAGCAGATTTAGCAAAAGCAGCCGCCAACTCGCTCAAAGATTGTCATTCACCACCGTCTAATCCACCGTCTACATGCTTTGCCACAGTCCAATACTGTGCAAACGACAGTGACCCCTGTGATACAGTCTGAGGTAGCTAAGACGCATATCCGTCGGGCTCCACCGAACGACCTGTGGCCCATAAAACCGAGCGGCGGCTGGCTGCACTCGACGCGGTCGATACGTACAGCGCTGGACAAGCCACAACGCCGGCCAGTGGCCACGGCATTCCTGAGACCGACACAGGTGTTGGCGACCCCCTCCCCTCCCTGAGCCACCAGACCCCCCCCCCCCCCCCGAGTGACCCCCACGACCCCAGGCAGGTACGGGTCACCTTGCAATCGAACCGGCCACGGGGCAGCTGCACAGAACACCTGTATGTATAATTAATAGGTAATCGTTCAGATGTGTTGATGTGATGCGCGCCACCGAGGCAAAATTAGTAAACACTTCGTTCGTAGCGGGTAAAAAGTTACGCATCCCAATGGGTGACACCCCTTTATGACCCCTCCTTCCTCACAAGCCGTTTCACTCTCTGTCTTTCGTTTCCTTTCCAATACCTGACTTGAAGTTGAGATACTATAACTTCAGGTTTTTTACCGCTCCCTGCCTTATGATCTGTCTGTCTCTTCTCTTTCTCTCGCTCTCAGCAGTCAATCCTCAGTTCACCATCTGACCTCTCCCTCCCCCTCATCAACAGATGATGAAGGGGACGGCCACTACATCGACGAGGGCCTGGTCAACTACGGGTTCGGCAACTACTCCGGCGACCCGGCACCGGCCGCCATAGTCACCAAGTCGCCCAAACGGTCACCGATTATCGTCAAGCCCTCTGCTGACGCCGAGTATAAGCCGTCGTTTGATGTACGTACCGCCAGGGGCGCCACCAGTCACAAGGAGGGAGTGAGGGATCGCGTCATGGGTCGACATATTCTCATTGGCCGACTATTGACGGCTGACGCTGTGTGCTAAGTTGGGCTGCATTAGGCTGGTATTTGTTTCAAGTCACCTATTCCAGTAAGAAAATCAGCCCCGCGCCCCTTACAATCATGGTTCACCCGTGTCTTGTCAAAAGGCAGCAGCCCTCGCTCCACAAAACTCCCCTGGAGCCTCGAGCCTGACCTCGAGGCAGGCTTGTGCAGGACGGCACCCCCTGTTCTTTCCACCCCCGACGTCACCCCCTGTTCCAGGTAGAAGGCCCTCCCTGATGCCTTCCCCTCTGTAGGACCCCGGTGCGATAGCAGTGGACCCCGCCCCCGGTACATAAAGCGACTTTCTGAACTTAGGTTTGTCGACCGTTGTATGCATAAATCGTTGTTCTTGATGTCATGTCATGTTCCCTATATGGTGCATCTTACCCAGCCCCTGACGCCACCCTATGCTCTCTGTATGGTGCGTCATACCTAGCTCCTGACGCCACCTTATGCTCCCTGTATGGTGCATCATACCTGTATGGTGCATCATACCTGTATGGTGCATCATACCTGTATGGTGCATCATACCTGTATGGTGCATCATACCCAGCTCCTGACGCCACCTTATGCTCCCTGTATGGTGCGTCATAACTGTATGGTGCGTCATACCCAAGATTACTTTGTCATACCGAGCCCCTGACGCCACCCTATGTTCCCTGTATGGTGCATGGGCGTAGGAACCTCACGAAAAGTGGGGGGGGGGGGGGCCAGCGAAACTTCAATGTCACTTTGTGGGAGCCCCAATACCCCTATGAAGAAATTCTTTGCAGTTTTGTGCTCATCTCACCTTGCTGAATCATTTCCTGCTCTTAGTTTTGTATTTAAATAAAAAATAAAGATTTTACTTTAAAAAATGGCTAAAAAGTGGGGGGGCCATGGCCCCCCCGGCCCCCCCTGTTCCTACGCCTATGGTATGGTGCATCATACCCAGCTCCTGACGCCACCCTGTTCCCTGTATGGTGCGTCATACCCAGCTCCTGACGCCACCCTGTTCCCTGTATGGTGCGTCATACCCAGCTCCTGACGCCACCCTGTTCCCTGTATGGTGCGTCATACCCAGCTCCTGACGCCACCCTCTGTTCCCTGTATGGCCCGTCATACCCAGCTCCTGACGCCACCCTATGTTCCCTGTATGGTGCATCATACCCAGCTCCTGACGCCACCCTATGTTCCCTGTATGGTGCATCATACCCAGCTACTGACGCCACCCTCTGTTCCCTGTATGGTGCGTCACACCCCGTTCTTTACGCCACCCTCTGTTCCCTGTATGGTGCGTCATACCCAGCTCCTGACGCCACCCTCTGTTCCAGGTAGAAGGCCGCCTCCGACCCGAGGACCGGCCCCAAGTGAACATCCTGGCGCCCACGCCGGACGCCTCGGAAGAAATCCTAGACGTCTCCATGACCCAGGAGCACATCGAGCTCCTGCTATCCCCACAGGGGGGCCGCGGATAGCTAGCCGTGCCCACCGAGGAGAGCCTGCTGCGGGAGCGTCACAGGAAACAGGAGGAGGAGCGGAAGGAGCGCCTGGAGCAGGAGCGGGCCGACCGCCGCAGGAGGCGGCTGAGGGTCCGCCTGCCAGTCGAGGATGAGGAGGAGAAGGAGGATGTGCCCAGTAGTATCACAGAACCAGAGGACCGACTGAGGGTCATCAATGAGATTATTGAGATGACCTCCGCGGACGCTGGTGAAGGTAGGGAGACGGACGGCGGCGCTGGTGGTGTTGGTGACTCCTCTGGTGTTGGTGATGAGGTGGTGATTGTGGACGAGACAGCTCGCTCCCCTGTGGACGGCAGGGTGCGACTGGCACCCCTGGATACGTCGCCACCTAGTGTGAATCGGTGGCTGGACTCGGCCCGAAAACGGAGGTGACTCGATCGGGACAGAGTGACATGGAATAATAGTGCTGTGTGCTTTCTCCGTGTAAGGTTCGTTACATTCCCCCTTGATGCGACAACGGTGGTTTTTGTCACCGATATCGTTCACAGGCACGGTTCTCCTCTCTACTACACAACTAAGCGCTGGAAGAAGACGGTATCAACGCAATGAGAACGTTGTGGATGCGAAGACGTGGCGTGTGAACACAATGGCACCAGGAATGCTGGACACAGCGGTGCCTTTAGATTCTTCAGCTAGTGTTAGTTACCATGCTATGGACTCGGTATACAGACGTTCTTAGCAGTATCGGATATCCATACATTCGTACCTACTTGACAAGTCTGTGCAAAAAAGAGCAGTGTTCTATCTTTTATTTGATTGCGAAGCATCTTGACAACATCGCATGATAGGTGGTAGTGTTGGAACATCACAATGCTGATCGATATTTCATGATTTCAATGTTTCAGAATAACCTAGATGTAGGCTTCGCCTCTTTTCCCTGTATTCCACCCCATTCGCACAATCCGTATAAACGAACTTGGTTTCTGCAAAGGTTATTATACAGTTTGATGATGCTGATGTCAGACTGAGGCTGAGCGTTACGCCAACATTCCGGAGTGTTTATCAAATCAATTATCCATATCATCACACTCAAGTTTTTGTGATAGCTTATCCGCTCACAAGCTTATAAACCTGGACTGAGGACACTGCTAGCGGCGAAAACCATCGCCATGCGATATGTGCAGCTAAGTTTTCGGTCGAACGTTGCAGAAGCCAGTAGCCACTACATATTCTGTATGTAACTCTGTGAGTGACTCGTGACAGGAGTGGATGGCAATGGCCTCAGGCGTCAGAATCTGTGATATTTTTTTTCTCGCGTTATAGAATGCTTCTGGGTGTGCCAGAGACGGGTGAACGATAGCGGATCAGTGGGGAGCGTTGAATGACATGGGACGGCTTTACATAAGCATTTTAATTTAGCATAGCGCAGATGTACCTCTTCATTCCATGGATGACAGATTGAGAGTGTCTAGTGTAAATTAGGCTCAAGTTGTAACTATGCGTGTGTGAGAGCGAGTTACTCAAAGCTGCCTCGCCTTGCCGTTATACGCAGCTACGTGCACCAGTCATCGATACCATTAACGTTACCAGAGTCCAAGACTCGGTGGAGCGTTCGTATTTTGCCCTACTTCGATGTGCCTTTTTATTATATGGGTGCTTGTATCTGATCACAGTGCACCCTGTTACGTGTCAACTACCTGTTTGAACGATATAATAAATATACGTGAACCACTTTGCATACTTCACGCGTACCGCAGACAGATGGTTGGCACGGTTCTAGGCCTAGCGTGATTTTCTATTGATCATGCTATGATGAGTTGACGATTTGTGGGTTTAGGGCGCTTGGACTGCAGTGGTCATCAGCGCCCAGCGAGCAGTCCAGAAACTGATAGAAAAGGAAATCATACGACGCGAACAGAAATATTCTACTTCACTGTCTGACTCACTGAAGCAGTTCCATAACAACACTGAGATTGTTGTGATTCTTTACTAGCAATTACAGCTTGAAGTTAAAGGGACCCTCCCACCTTCAAAAAAGTTTATGAATTGGTATGAAAGTGATGTCGCTTGGTTCAGAAAGAGCGAAAACGAATATCTACCAAATTTCACCGAAAAATATTCACCGGTTTTCAAGATATTAGACTTTTACTTTTGTTTACTTTTTGGGATCTCCGCTGTTCCTAGCGACTTTATTTGGAAGCAATAGTTTGGCAGCTGAAAGTGCGGCACTTGTTGCGCGCAAAGCAGCATATACCACCGCGTGCTACAAAACGTTTTAGTCAAACATTTAAAAATCGTTAGATATCTGCGCTGACGTCACACATTCAGAGGGGTATTCCTATGCATTAGCCCCTCTGAATCAAAATGCTGTAATTTTGAAATTCAATATTTCCGATTTAAGGCATTTCTCGATGTTGTGAATGCCGAAACCGGTAATTGTGAGCCAGGGACCCCATTTTGGCTATCTCAACTCAAATCTAATGTTAACCCGCGCCCGGCTGGGGGTCCTGGATTTCCACGCCCTGCTGGGGAGGGGGGGTGTTTGAACACCCCCCCTTCTAACTCGGCTCCTGGGCCACGTAGCGATACGCGGAAGGCGGCGTTCGAAAGAGCGTCAAAAATAATGACGAAATCACTTCGGTCAATTTTTTGGTCAGGTCAAAGGTCAGGTCACCAGAGGTCATTGAAGGCAAAATTTCGCCGATTTCCAGGTCGAATGTCGAAAATTTCCAAGAAGCCAACGCATAACTCGGGAACCAATAGAGCTACAGCGCCGCGGAAAAGCGCATTCGATAGCCCTATTAACGCCCTTTCTGAGTAATTCTCTCAGATTTGACCTAACGTCAACGGTTTTGCCTGCAGGGGGCAAAAACTGCAAAAATAGTCGATTTTTTCGGAAACAGTTTTTCTGCAATAACTTTTGACCCAAGCCCTGTACGAGCTTACTTTTACCGGCATCGTGTTCCTCTCGTCAAGACGCATCGAATGAACTATAACTTGACCTTGAAAGGTCAACTTGAAAATTTGACCTCAGGTCAAGGTCATGACCTGACCGGAAAGGGTCATGTTGCATATCAGTCGATCCGTATCGTCGAGCTGAACACAGCTAAGGTGTTTTCATCGCTCTAGCATGCCTCTATCAAAAGTTATTTGCGAAAAACTGTTAGATACCATTCGTGACCTAAGATGACCTCAGGGCATAAACAGGGGTCACGGACACCATTTTCATGTTCAGTGTGTCTAAACCACTTGTAATTCAGTGTTTGGGAGTGTTTATAATGTCTTTCGTCCAAAAGAGACGCATTTCAATTTTCTCCCATTGACTTATAATGGGGAGGTCGCAAAATTGACCTGACCTTAGGTCATCGATATCAAAATTCTGAGATATACATTTTGTACATGCTATTGCTCTTAGCAATCGCTGAAAGTTTCAAAGCGATCGGTCACTCGGTGTAGCTATGACAGACATTGAAACTTTTTATGAGGTGAGGTCACTTCAAGTGACCTGGTGACCTGACCTTGAATTACCTTGGTCTGAAATTTTCACAACATGTGTAGAATTGATGCATGATAAGGTATACCAAAAACCACAAGGGGGGTGTTCAAACACCCCCCCCCCCCCCAGCAGGGCGCGGGTTAAGGTGGGAGGGTCCCTTTAAGTGACAGAATATCAATCAAAGTATTGCAGCAAAAAATAGTTACATAGCGTTGCATATCATGATAGTTGCAAAACATTATTGCAACAAATAATAGTTGTATAGTTTATCGGCGACAGACTATCGTTTCATTGACCGTTCAATACTCTTTGGCAACCTTGGATGCGCCAGGGGACAGGCCATAAGACATTCGACCACTTTCTAACTAGCTGAACACTTCACCTTCCGTGCTTAAAGAAGTCCATAACAGTGGATAGTTCAGCGAGTTTCCCGAATGTTCCGATTGAGGTTCTTGGACTAATTGGTTCGATACCCCATGGACGCCAAAGTCGTCACTCACATACTCAAAACTCAGCTAGGCATAAGAGTATGATAGACACAAAATTCGATAACCTCTTTTAGGCTATGTCGCCAAAGTTTCCCTGACCTAACGTCACATGTTTGGCTTCCAGGGGGTAAACCGAAAAGAGATGGTTCAGGTTAAGTCCATGGTTTCGAGAAAAGTTTGTCTAGCGTAACTTTGATAAATTTACGAGCATCGTGTTTCGTATCAACGAAACGCTTCAAATGCACCATGATTTTACATTTCAGGTCGACAATTTGATTACAAGTGAAGGTCATATTCCAAGAAAAGTCAGGTAGCCATCAGTAGAGCCGCTCTGTTGAGTTGAACGCATGTTACGTGTTGTCAACATCCCAGCATGTTTAACCCGCGCGGGGCTGGGGTCTCCAGCCGAACGCGCGGGGCTGGGGGGGGGGGGGGGTAAATTTTACCCCCCGTTATCTCCCGAACTAATGGTCCGATTTGGAAAAATCAGACGCCAATCGAAAGATCTCATCACGAACAACTAAAAACATGTACTTAATTTAAAGTTTGAGGTCAAGGTCAAGGTCAGGTCAAGGGTACAAATTGCAAGTTTCTACAGTATCGGCCTTGCACCGTAGTTGCCGAAGAATGGAGTCATCGACTGAGACTGATTGCCCAAAACGTGTTCTTAGGCTACCAAGACAATATTCGTTGCATACAATATCATTCAGAGGTCAAGGTCAAGGTCAGGTCAGGTCAGGACAGGTCACCAAAAAACAAAATATAGAAAAGGGCATGTGCGACACATGTTTTATGGGTCATTTTACTCATAGAATTCAATAGGCACACTCAATAAGTGATATGGACCACCTCTGGATGAACTTCAGGTCAAGGTCAGGTCAATTGAGGTCAAATTTTGAAGTTGGTTGTTAAGGCCTGAAAAGGTGTCTATCTGATGCAGTTTTTCACGGCGAATCGAATGGTGCTATTTTGGTTTCCGTACGAGGTCCAGAACTTCCAAAAAAAATCATTTTTCAAAATTTTTGTGTGTCGTGACGTCATAAAATCTTGAATAACTCCCACATTTTTGAACAGATTCTTCTAAAAATTGGTATGTAGGTGCACATAGACCACTTCTCTGACATATATTCCGTTTTTTTTTTCGATACACTCAAAATTTTGGATTTTATAATTATTTTCCCAAAAGTCAGTTTTTTGAAAAATTTGGGCCAAAATCCATAATTTTCAAAAAACCGGGATAGCCATTTGATAGACAAAGTAGAATTACGTATAACCTTTTTTGTTACGTCTTGATTCCTTTCAAAATGAATATGTTAGCGGCGTTTGAAATTTTGCCGTTTTTGAGGCGAAAATGGCGAACATGACGTCACTAAAACGTCAATTTCTCAAAAAATTTCTGACGGATTTCGCTCAAATTTTCAGGGAACGTGTCAAATTGATGTAAGAAAAGGTACTGAAAGTTTGGCGGCGCTGCGCGCCGCCGTTTTTGAGATATTGCAAAAATTCGCGAGGGGGTAAAATTTACCCCCCAAGCCCCGCGCGGGTTAATCAGTTTACCTGCTGATTGCTGACAACGCTATGACGTTACATGAACTAGTAGGAGCAATGATATCAGGGGAGCAATGTTCTTATCATGGATAGTGCAGAAGCCTTTTTAACTACGTTTGAGGGTGTTTGGTAGGGGAGAGTGGGGCAAAGCGGCCACCCTAACGCTTCTCACGATGCCAACGCTTGATGTTTAAACTTGGAAAGATTCTTTGTATACCAATGTGATCCCTATTAGGTTGCCTTTTATTTCAACTGCGTTTTATTTCCAAAGGCGTTCACATATGGAAGATATTGACAAAACTTTAAACCTATGCATATTGGCCACTTTGCCCCATACCCTGGGGCAAAGCGGCCACTGGCGTCTTCTCAAGTCCCGATATGAGAAACAAAATTGCTGCCTCATGTACGACTAGGGTATTTGATGGTAATAAGGTTTAAGCGAGGATGGATGTTTACTTTATCATCTTCCACCTGTAGGTAAACAAAGAAAGGATTTTCACGAAAAAACATTTAATTGCATTATTTGGTAACTCATGCAACTGAAAAGTGGCCAAGATGAATGCCTGACGACACATTTGAATATAAATAATGTTTTTATCCAGATGTAAACAACTTATGGCCAATTGGGGGTTGGCCACTTTGCCCCGCGCATACCGTCCGAGACAACAATATTCCAGCTTAGCTATTAGTGGGGTAAAAAACATTAAAATTGGTAGAATACATGTACGATAACCATGCAATGCATGGACAAGAACGCTTATAAAAATTCCAAATGGTTATGGAATAATATACCTAACATTTAAAAATTGAAAACATAGTTGGTAACCTGGCAAGAAATGCTTTTGTGTTTCACAGAACAATGGTGATGGGCCTGAAACCCCGGTCTGGCTCATTCGAACGACCGTGAAGAGAAGTATAATTGGAAACCATAAATTGGAACTGACGCCAGCTATGAAGGGCTAAAACGATGGGTGGCCGCTTTGCCCCGGGTGTCCGCTTTGCCCCACTCTCCCCTACATAAAGTACGGCGAAGAGGCACAGCTTCAATTTGTTACACTGACTTATCCCGCGCACCGACGGGGGTCTGCGTCAACTTAGAACAGACTGGCGGATGACCGCCCCCCCCCCCCCCTGAGATCTCGAGAACGAAGCAAGATAGAGAACGAAGCAAGCTAGAGACAAGCGGTAAACGGCTCGGGGTACGCACGGACAAAGTCTACAATTTTTACAAAGGTCATTTTCAGGTCAGGTCAAAGATGACGTCACAGGGGTCAAAGTCAAAATAGCGGCGCTAGATACGAGTTCTCCTCGAATAACTTTCGAAGTAGCTAAGCTGGGAGCAAACTAAGGGCACCATCGTGATCCTCTCGTCAATCCGCATCGCATGATAAATGTGCTGACCTCGAAAGGTCAAGGTCAAATGTTGATCTCAGATCAGGTGACCTCAAGGTCATCATGTATATCATTTGATGCGCCTTGACGAGCTGAACACGATGAGACCATCCGCACAGCTTTATCTGGCTCCTATGAGGAGTTATTAATGACCTTACAGTTGCCCAAGAGCAAAAAGGCCTCAAGGTAGTCAAGGTTGATCGTATCTGAAGTCATTCATGGTATATTGGGCCACTCCGACGCGTTTTCATAGTTAGTGAAAAAACAGGGGCTTGATTCCCCCCCCCCCCCCCATTGACTTACAATCTTGCCATATTGAACATAAATAAAATCTGTGCTAAACGCTTAAATAGGATGAATGATTCACCCCCTTCCCCTTCCAACTCAGCTCCTGGGCCACGCGGTAAGCGGCAATCGAAATAGTGTTAAAAATAATGACAAAGGTACATTGATCTTTTTATAGTTAGATCAAAAGTCAGGTCATCAAGAGGTGAAATCTTGCCTATTTTACACTGTGGCCTATTTGACCTTTTTTGTCAAATCGGCACATAACACGGGAGAGCTAGAACGTCGTGGATAAGCGCATTCGTTAGCTTTTTAACGCTCTTTCTGGCTTAAGCTCTCATATTTGACCTAAGATCAATGACTTCGCCTCCAGAGGGCAAAAACTCGAAAAAACGCATTATGAAACATGCTTTTTGTGATAACTTTTGAGTTAATAAAAAAGACTGCTTTTGCCAGCATCGTGTTCCTCTCGTCGACACGCGTCGGACTCGGAGGGACTATATTTTGACCTTTACCTAGGATTTTGAAAATTTGACCCAAGGTCAAGCTCATGCCCTGACCGGAAAAGGTCATTTTGCGTATCAGACCATCCGCATCGTCGAACTGAACATGCCTGACGATTTTTCATCGTTTTAGCACGTCCCTCTATCAAGTTTATGTAAATAAATCTGGAGACCTTCCATGGCGAGCTGAGATGACCTCCGAGAGTCACGGAGGAGTCACGGATGCAATTCACCGATCCAGTGTGTCATTTGTAACCCGATGTTTGAGAGTGCTAAGAATGATGCTCGTCCAAATTAAGATGCAATGCCCAAAAGACGCGACTTTCAATTTTCTCCCATTGAATTGTAGGTAATGGAGAGTGCAAAGTTGACCTGCCTTAGGTCACCAACCCAAGATACAAGTTTTACTTAGTAGATTATAAGGATCTGCTGTCACTCTCATCAATCACTGAAACTTTCAAGGTGATCGTTCAGTGGGTTCAGAGGGTTCTGCGGCGAGCATATTTTATACTTTCTGAGGTGAGGTCACTTGATGTGACCTTGGCCTCGTTTCATAAAGCCAGTCCGTAACTTACGCGGTTTTTGGTCTTGTACCGCAAGTGCATGTGAAGCGATAAATTTATTTCCCCTTCTCTAATTTCTGTTCTTGTTTGCAAGATACACAAAATCACCGATTCAAACTAACGTTATCGCTTCACATGCACTTGCAATACAATACCAAAAACCGCCGTAAGTTACGGACTCGCTTTATGAAACGAGGCCCTAGTGACCTGACTGACATGGTTCTGAATTTTCCCATGGGCAAAAAGGATTGAGATATCTGCGAAAAACTACAGTAGGTAGCTGCTTTACATCACGAATTGTTAGCCATTTTTGCAAAACGAAATGTCAATTATATAAAACGATCTGTAGAATCCAACCCTTTTGAGCACAACTGCAGCAACAGATACCAATAACAGTGTTTTGGATAGAGCACTTACCTGCAGTGTTCACGGGTGAGTGCAGCTCCACCCCGACCGCCGCTGCTGCCAGTGCTGCCTCATCCATGAAGTGCTGCTCACGTCCAGTAGATGTCCTCAGCTGTTCCTCAGGGTCCCAACCTCTCCGAAGATGGCTGCTTGGAATTCACACTATATCATACAGCAGGTTTCCCGGACTCCACCGCACCCCTCCCTCCATCGAAACAGTTCAATTGATGATGACATGAACACTATATTACACTTCTCACAAACAATGTACAAGTATCACAGTTTGAGCAGCTAAGTGGCCACAGCAGCCATTTGTACAAGCTGCAATGATGAGACAAATGACATGGAGGTTCTTCATGAATAAATGAATCAAAACCTAATGATACCACCTGTCTGGCATACTACCTCTCATCCTCTTCCACGGGAGGTAGAAGGCCCAGGTGTGCTGGAAAGAACATAGCCAAACATCATCTGGTTCATGGGAGGGGTGCAAAACATGGGAAAATTAGCAGTGGAGTATCAACAATGGCTGCAAGATATGAGATATCAAAGCTTAGCATTTGTCAGGACAGTGTCACTGAAGGGGCCTGTATACCAACCTGTTATAAATAAGATGTATCCATGACAGCTTGCATGGTGCTCGGATCTATGACCAGCGGCATCAACCTAGAAGAAGGGCAGATGGCTAAAAACAAGACAATGATGCATGCAGCATACACGCACACACTCCTACCAACAGCTTTAGTTTTCAGTAAGTCATTCAAGACTGGACAGAAGTGGCCTCTCACTGCTCCGTGAGAGGCATATCACTGCACAATGTGGCTGACAGACACATGGTTCCCACACACTTTCTGGGGTTACAACAACACACTCCAGACCCCTGGTTCAGATATCCTTCCCCACTGCTCCAAACACACCTGCCGGAGCCGAGTCCCCTCCACCGAGGGACTTCAGGGCATCGCCCAGAGCCGGCCTCGCGTGGCCGACCTGGCCCAGCAGAGCCCTCCGCAGGAACGCTATCTCCTCCTCGGCGGCATGAAGCCGAGCCTCCAGGCTCCTCTTGCTCCTGTCCAGTTCCCTGTTCTCCTGGGAGAGGTTGTTACACTTCTCAGTGAGCATCAACATCTCCTGCTTCTTCCTGTCCCGGTTCTTCTTGGCGTTGATGGCATTCAGTCGAGTGCGCTCCAGATTCGGGTCAGTGTACGGCTTCTGCATGTACTTCTTGGTTTTCCTGGTTGTCTTGAATCTGCCAATTCCAGAACTTGAACTTCCATCAGTGACAGAGAGCTTTCTCTTGCACAAAGCAGCATCAAGCTTACTGTATGTATGCACTGGCGACTGCGTACTTGCAGGTTTGCGAAGCACCTTCAGCTTCCTTTCCTTTGCGCGCTTGACCATAGGAGCATCCTCCATTGGAGAGGCAGTCTCAGTCTGCGAAACCTCCGATGACTGGATGAGCTCCATTCCGGCTTCCTCCGCAGACCTCTCGGAGATGGCTGAAAAGGAAACTGGTGACGTGACATCTGCCTCTTCAGCGCTGTCGTACGACCAGCTGATGGCTCGACCTAAAGCATCTCTGTCACTGGAAGCTGCTACCATTTCATTCAACGTTTTCTCCTTATCTGCCACAGGTTCAAACCGGACATCATTCGCTTCTGGCTCAGGGCTACGATAGATCCCAACAGTACATGATGCAACAACAGATTTCAGCTCAGTGAGTGTGCGGGGTGACGACGACGGGCTGTTGATAATATCACTTTGGGGCATGGTAGATTTCCGAGTCGCAGCCGAAAACAGTGGCGTTTGCTGAGTGTCTGAGTCTTCTGGGAGAATCACTTCGGATGCGAACTGCTCATCGCTGAACCGAAGGAACTCAAGCTCGTCGAAAAGCCTGATATCGGGGAACAAGTCTGCCATGATGTGCAATGCTAGGAATAGTAGCTTACCAGCTAAATATATATTGAAATCCGAAGAACGGACGAACGGCGATCACCCGCCTCTTCAACGCGATCTCTCGACGAAAAAAGTCCAACTTTCTTTATATACGACATGCGTATGAGCATCTGACGTCATGAAAACGCGGCCTCCTATTGGCCGATGCTATCAGACGAAGCACATCAATAGTCATTCGCCATCAAAGTAGTGCCCACACCTCAAAAGGTTTCGCAAACGTTTCGTTCGACGCCGCCGGATGGCGCAGCGGAGACAATTGCGCAATATGCAGGGAACGTTTCCTGCTCGCGACGTCTGTCAATTCAGCAGCAACGAATATCAGCCTCACAGCAGCATATTTCGGGGTCTTCCGATTTGGCTAAAAATCGGTATACAGGGCCTCCTCGATGCGCTGATTCCGAAAATGTACCTCTTTGGGGTGGTATTTTGCACCGTTAACGAGTTAACGACCAATTAACATTTTAACGGGAAACGGCGGGGTCTTTCGATTTGGCTAAAAATCAGTATACAGGGCCTTCTCGATGCGCTGATTTCGAAAATGTGCCTCTTTGGGGTGGTATTTTGCATCGTTAACGAGTTAACGATCCGTTAACATTTCAGCAGCATATATCGATTTCAGCAGCAAATTTTCGGGGTCTTTCGATTTGGTTTAAAATCGGTGTACAGGGTCTCCTCGATGCGCTGATTCCGAAAAGGTACCTCTGTGGGGTGGCATTTTGCACTGTTAACGAGTTAACGACCAATTAACATTTTAACGGGAAACGGCGGGGTCTTTCGATTTGGCTGAAAATCGGTATACAGGGCCTCTTCGATGCGCTGATTTCGAAAATGTACCTCTTTGGGGTGGTATTTTGCACCGTTACCGAGTTAACGACCATTTTATCATTTTAACGGGATTTTAACATTTTAACGGGAAGCGGTGGGGTCTTTCGATTTGGCTAAAAATCGTTATACAAGGCCTCCTCGATGCGCTGATTCCGAAAATGTACCTCTTTGAGGTGGTATTTTGCACCGTTAACGAGTTAACGACCAATTAACATTTTAACGGGAAACGGCGGGGTCTTTCGATTTGGCTAAAAATCAGTATACAGGGCCTTCTCGATGCGCTGATTTCGAAAATGTACCTCTTTGGGGTGGCATTTTGCATCGTTAACGAGTTAACGATCCGTAAACATTTCAGCAGCATATATCGATTTCAGCAGCAAATTTTCGGGGTCTTTCTATTTGGTTTAAAATCGGTGTACAGGGTCTCCTCGATGCGCTGATTCCGAAAAGGTACCTCTTTGGGATGGTATTTTGCACTGTTAACGAGTTAACGACCAATTAACATTTTAACGGGAAACGGCGGGGTCTTTCGATTTGGCTGAAAATCGGTATACAGGACCTCCTCGATGCGCTGATTCCGAAAATGTGCCTTTTTGGGGTGGTATTTAGCACCGTTAACGAGTTAACGACCAATTAACATTTTAGCGGGAAACGGCGGGGTCTTTCGATTTGGCTGAAAATCGGTATACAGGGCCTCCTCGATGCGCTGATTCCGAAAATGTACCTCTTTCGGGTAGTATTTTGCACCGTTAACGAGTTAACGACCAATTAACATTTTAACGGGAAACGGCGGGGTCTTTCGATTTGGCTGAAAATCGGTATGCAGGGCCTCCTCGATGCGCTGATTCCGAAAATGTACCTCTTTCGGGTGGTATTTTGCACCGTTAACGAGTTAACGACCAATTAACATTTTAACGGGAAACGGCGGGGTCTTTCGATTTGGCTGAAAATCGGTGTCCAGGGCCTTCTCCATGCGCTGATTCCGAAAATGTACCTCTTTGGGGTGGTATTTTGCACCGTTAACGGGTTAACGACCAATTAACATTTTAACGGGAAACGGCGGGGTCTTTCGATTTGGCTAAAAATCAGTATACAGGGCCTTCTCGATGCGCTGATTTCGAAAATGTACCTCTTTGGGGTGGTATTTTGCATCGTTAACGAGTTAACGATCCGTAAACATTTCAGCAGCATATATCGATTTCAGCAGCAAATTTTCGGGGTCTTTCTATTTGGTTTAAAATCGGTGTACAGGGTCTCCTCGATGCGCTGATTCCGAAAAGGTACCTCTTTGGGATGGTATTTTGCACTGTTAACGAGTTAACGACCAATTAACATTTTAACGGGAAACGGCGGGGTCTTTCGATTTGGCTGAAAATCGGTATACAGGACCTCCTCGATGCGCTGATTCCGAAAATGTGCCTTTTTGGGGTGGTATTTAGCACCGTTAACGAGTTAACGACCAATTAACATTTTAGCGGGAAACGGCGGGGTCTTTCGATTTGGCTGAAAATCGGTATACAGGGCCTCCTCGATGCGCTGATTCCGAAAATGTACCTCTTTCGGGTAGTATTTTGCACCGTTAACGAGTTAACGACCAATTAACATTTTAACGGGAAACGGCGGGGTCTTTCGATTTGGCTGAAAATCGGTATGCAGGGCCTCCTCGATGCGCTGATTCCGAAAATGTACCTCTTTCGGGTGGTATTTTGCACCGTTAACGAGTTAACGACCAATTAACATTTTAACGGGAAACGGCGGGGTCTTTCGATTTGGCTGAAAATCGGTGTCCAGGGCCTTCTCCATGCGCTGATTCCGAAAATGTACCTCTTTGGGGTGGTATTTTGCACCGTTAACGGGTTAACGACCAATTAACATTTTAACGGGAAACGGCGGGGTCTTTCGATTTGGCTACAAATCAGTAGGTATACAGGGCCTTCTCGATGCGCTGATTTCGAAAATGTGCCTCTTTGGGGTGGTATTTTGCATCGTTAACGAGTTAACGATCCGTTAACATTTCAGCAGCATGTATCGATTTAAGCAGCAAATTTTCGGGGTCTTTCGATTTGGTTTAAAATCGGTGTACAGGGTCTCCTCGATGCGCTGATTCCGAAAAGGTACCTCTTTGGGGTGGTATTTTGCACTGTTAACGAGTTAACGACCAATTCACATTTTAACGGGAAACGGTGGGGTCTTTCGATTTGGCTGAAAATCGGTATACAGGGCCTCCTCGATGCGCTGATTCCGAAAATGTACCTTTTTGGGGTGGTATTTAGCACCGTTAACGAGTTAACGACCAATTAACATTGTAACGGGAAACGGCGGGGTCTTTCGATTTGGCTGAAAATCGGTATACAGGGTCTCCTCGATGCGCTGATTCCGAAAATGTACCTCTTTCGGGTGGTATTTTGCACCGTTAACGAGTTAACGACCAATCAACATTTTAACGGGAAACGGCGGGGTCTTTCGATTTGGCTAAAAATCGGTATACAGGGCCTCCTCGATGCGCTGATTCCGAAAATGTACCTCTTTGGGGTGGTATTATCAGGGTATCTAGAGCATCTGTTCACGAGTGTGTAAACAAAAAATGAGCCTGATCTGACTTGTAAGACGGCGGCCAGAGCCCAAAATGTGAACAAGCCAATATGCTAATAATTTTTACTTTGACCTGATCTGGGACGTCATCGGTGACCTCGAGGTCAATAAAATTAGGTTTCGCTCGACAGTTTTTCCGGGGCTATCAGACGCTGTTTGAATTTTGACGATCGGCCCAGTAGTTTCGGAGTTAGAAGGGGGGCTATGGAGAGCCCCCCCAGTAGGGTGTGTTATACGCAGACCCCAGTGGGGCGCGGGTTAATGCTCGAAGTGAGCACCAAATGGACCCTGTCTACCATTGCTCACTATATTAAACTTAAACTTAAATGGGAATATGTGGGTCAGGCAACCTTTGGGGACAGTTTAGGTCATGTTCTGGTGAAGGTCAGGTCAAGGTCAGGTCAAATTTGGTCACCTTTTAAAGTTGATATTGTTGCATAAAATGAATAACGACTCGATGCAGCTGGTCACGACGAGTCTAACGGTGATCTTCGTTTTGCGCTACGTGTTCGAAAATTGCTAATAATTGAGTTTGAAAATTTGACGTCATCATTTTTGAACAGTGTTTTCGCTATAACTTGGCCAAAAAAGAGGCATCAATCTCAAATTTGTTCTCAATTTGTTCTCAAATCTGTTACAACCAACCTCAGTCTCCCCTACCCTCGCCGGCGCTGGCGGCTGGTTGCGGGGCAGAACTGGGACTCCCACGCTCTGTCGGGTGCGTATTATTTAGGCCAGGGTTCATAATGTCCAGGGTACGATGTGTCCAGTGCTCGAAATGACCAGTGCCTTGAATTGGCCAGTGTTCATATTGTCCAGGGTTTGCATGGTCCAAATGTGGCCAACTGGCTGCAGATAGGGTAAATTCAAAGAGGCCAGGGTTCATAATGTCCAGGGCACGATGTGTCCAGTGCTCGAAATGGCCAGGGTTCATAATGTCCAGGGCACGATGTGTCCAGTGTTCGAAATGGCCAGGGTTCATAATGTCCAGGGCACGATGTGTCCAGTGTTCAAAATGGCCAGTGCCTTGAATTGGCCAGAGTTCATAGTGTCCAGGGATTACACAGTCAACCAAACCAAGCCAAACCAAACCTAACCTAACCTAACCTAACCTAACCTAACCTAACCTAACCTAACCTAACCTAACCTAACCTAACCTAACCTAACCTAAGGTAATGATGTTTGCCTACCGGGGATAAGGAAATAGTTTTTCGCATGAATAGATTGCAAGCAATAGTAAATCAAATATTTTTAGGTTAAGTGGTTATGCATCAGGCTTCAGGCCTTCGGCCTGAAGCCAGATACATAACCACTTAACCTAAAAATATTTGATTTACTATTGCCTGTAATCTCTCCTAAGGCATTGCCTTCGGCACTGCACTGCTTCGCATTGAGCTGGTTCCGTGTTTTTACATAATGACGTCACTTTCAATGACTATGTAATCCCTGGACATTATGAACTCTGGCCCATTCAAGGCACTGGCCATTTTGAACACTGGACACATCGTTCCCTGGACATTATGAACCCTGGCCATTTCGAACACTGGACACATCGTGTCCTGGACATTATGAACCCTGGCCATTTCGAACACTGGACACATCGTGCCCTGGACATTATGAACCCTGGCCTCTTTGAATATACCCTATCTGCAGCCAGTTGGCCGCATTTGGACCATGCAATCCCTGGACATTATGGAATCTGGCCTATTCAAGGCACTGGCCATTTCGACACTGGGCATATCGTACCCTGGACATTATGAACCCTGGCCAGAATGAATGTTCCCCGCTCTGTCCCACACAGAGCGAGACCACTCTATCGGCGTCTAGCCGCAGGGCTGTGTCTGCGACCCTCGGTGAATCGCGCAGGGGCGGCAGCAGGCCCGTGTTCTGGTGGGGCCTCCGCTGAGCCGGGGAGACAATTTTCGCTTATCTTTGCTGGGAACGATCTGCACATCCCGAACAGCGACTTGGCTCTTCAGCCACCCATGGAGGCCCTGATAAATCGAGCTTTGGTACTGGAGGTTACCCAGGCCACATTTGTGTACCTAACACATTTTAAGGAACCGCTTGGTAGTCAGGTTCGCTAGAGATGGACGCAGATCCTTAACCCGGCAGTTGCTGGGGTATTTCGCCACCCACCGTTTGCTGGGGGGGGGGGGGGGGCGTTAAACGCCCCCAGCCGATAACTCGAGAACCAATAGGCGCAGCGAAACGCACGAGGCGGCAAACGAAAGAGCGCGACGAGACGCTTCAGATGAGTATTTTAAAGTTGAATTTTGAGGTCACAGGTCGGGTCAAGGTCAGGTCAAACACCTGAAATCGGGCTTTCAGTAGCATGGACTTCAGGACTTCGCAATGGGCGCCTCTCGCCATAAACTCTGTCAAAACGGTGCACAATCCATCTTATAAGGCCTACAAGAGTGTCAGCTCCATGTAGGGGTCAGTCAAGCATAGGTCAGGGTCAAGGTCAGGTCAACCGGGTAGGCACATATCCCCGAAAATCAAAACTGATATTCGCAGGCTGTGACACATGTTTTATAGGTAATTTGGGGCGTAGAACACGATGGTGACATTCATTTTATCATATGTGTACGTGTTTGGCTCAAAAAGTTCAATTTAAGAAATTCATGTATCATGGTCGTGAAGTAGTCACGAAAAATTGCCAAGATTCAGTTCAAGATTATGGAAAATGCGGAACGATAATCAATAATCGAAGATAGCCATTCGATTGATCGTGGTATTGGCAGTCTAATGGCGTTTACGGCATGTCTGTATGTCTATTCTGTGATTTTATATGATTTTTTGAACATATGCCGTTTTTGGTCGAAAACTCAGAAATCATGACGTCACTAAAACCTCGATATCTCAAAAATTTTCCGACAGATTTTTTTGAAACTTAGTCACAATAAACTTCAATCAATTCCCTACAGGTACCCAAAATTTGGCGCGCCTGCGGCGCGCCGTTTTTATGCTATGGCCCGGCGAAAAAAGTGGGGGCGTTTAACGCCCCCCCCCCAGCAACTCGCGGGTTAAGGGACCAGATGTTTAAATCAAAGTAAAAACTGCGTGGGCAGAAAATTTACATACATGAAAGCTGTATAGCTCCAGCCCAGCAGGAGGCTATGAACTTCCTGGTAGAGCTGCGAAAAGAGCGGAAAATCTAACGGTACATTTTCGTAATCAGCGCATTGAGGAGGCCCTCTATACTGATTTTCAGCCAAATCGAAAGACCCTGCCGTTTCCTGTTAAATGTTAATTGGTCGTTAACTCGTTAACGGTGCAAAATACCACCCTAAAGCGGCACATTTTCGTAATCAGCGCCTCGGACAGGCCCTGTATACTGATTTTCAGCCAAATCGAAAGACCCCGCCGTTTCCCGTTAAAATGTTTATTGGCCGTTAACTCGTTAACGGTGGAAAATACCACCCCAAAGAGGCACATTTTCAGAATCAGCGCATCGAGGAGGCCCTGTATACCGATTTTCAACCAAATCGAAAGACCCCGAAAATTTGCTGCTGAAATCGATATATGCTGCTGAAATGTTAACGGATCGTTAACTCGTTAACGGTGCAAAATACCACCCCAAAGAGGCACATTTTCGAAATCAGCGCATCGAGGAGGCCCTGTATACCGGTTTTCAGCCAAATCGAAAGACCCCGCCGTTTCCCGTTAAAATGTTATTTGGTCGTTAACTCGTTAACGTTGCAAAATACCAACCCATTTTCGGAATCAGCGCATCGAGGAGGCCCTGTATACTGATTTTCAGCCAAATCGAAAGACCCCGCCGTTTCCCGTTAAAATGTTAATTGGTCGTTAACTCGTTAACGGTGCTACATACCACCCCAAAGAGGTACATTTTCGGAATCAGCACATCGAGAAGGCCCTGTACACCGATTTTCAGCCAAATCGAAAGACCCGCCGTATCCCGTAAAAATGTTATTTGGCCGTTAACTCGTTAACGGTCCAAAATACCACCCCAAAGAGGTACATTTTCGGAATCAGCGCATCGAGGAGGCCCTGTATACCGATTGTCAGCCAAATCGAAAGACCCCGAAAATTTGCTGCTGAAATCGATATATGCTGCTTAAATGTTAACGGATCATTAACTCGTTAACGGTGCAAAATACCAACCCAAAGAGGTACACTTTCGGAATCAGCGCATCGAGAAGGCCCTGTATACTGATTTTCAGCCAAATCGAAAGACCCCGCCGTTTCCCGTTAAAATGTTAATTGGTCGTCAACTCGTTAACGGTGCAAAACACCACCCCAAATAGGTACATTTTCGGAATCAGCGCATCGAGAAGGCCCTGTACACCGATTTTCAGCCAAATCGAAAGACCCCCCGTTTCCCGTTAAAATGTTAATTGGTCGTTAACTCGTTAACGGTGCAAAATATAACCCCAAAGAGGTACATTTTCGGAATCAGCGCATCGAGAATGCCCTGTACACCGATTTTCAGCCAAATCGAAAGACCCCGCCGTTTCCCGTTAAAATGTTAATTGGTCGTTAACTCGTTAACGGTGCTACATACCACTCCAAAGAGGTACATTTTCGGAATCAGCACATCGAGAAGGCCCTGTACACCGATTTTCAGCCAAATCGAAAGACCCGCCGTATCCCGTTAAAATGTTAACTGGCCGTTAACTCGTTAACGGTCCAAAATACCACCCCAAAGAGGTACATTTTCGGAATCAGCGCATCGAGGAGGCCCTGTATACCGATTGTCAGCCAAATCGAAAGACCCCGAAAATTTGCTGCTGAAATCGATATATGCTGCTTAAATGTTAACGGATCATTAACTCGTTAACGGTGCAAAATACCAACCCAAAGAGGTACATTTTCGGAATCAGCGCATCGAGAAGGCCCTGTATACTGATTTTCAGCCAAATCGAAAGACCCCGCCGTTTCCCGTTAAAATGTTAATTGGTCGTTAACTCGTTAACGGTGCAAAACACCACCCCAAATAGGCACATTTTCGGAATCAGCGCATCGAGAAGGCCCTGTACACCGATTTTCAGCCAAATCGAAAGACCCCCCGTTTCCCGTTAAAATGTTAATTGGTCGTTAACTCGTTAACGGTGCAAAATACCACCCCAAAGAGGTACATTTTCGGAATCAGCGCATCGAGAATGCCCTGTACACCGATTTTCAGCCAAATCGAAAGACCCCGCTGTTTCCCGTTAAAATGTTAACTGGCCGTTAACTCGTTAACGGTGCAAAATACCACCCCAAAGAGGTACATTTTCGGAATCAGCGCATCGAGAAGGCCCTGTATACCGATTTTCAGCCAAATCGAAAGACCCCGCTGTTTCCCGTTAAAATGTTAACTGGCCGTTAACTCGTTAACGGTGCAAAATACCACCCCAAAGATGTACATTTTCGGAATCAGCGCATCGACGAGGCCCTGTATACCGATTTTCAGCCAAATCGAAAGACCCCGAAAATTTGCTGCTGAAATCGATATATGCTGCTTAAATGTTAACGGATCATTAACTCGTTAACGGTGCAAAATACCACCCCAAAGAGGTACATTTTCGGAATCAGCGCATCGAGAAGGCCCTGTATACTGATATTCAGCCAAATCGAAAGACCCCGCCGTTTCCCGTTAAAATGTTAATTGGTCGTTAACTCGTTAGCGGTGCAAAATACCACCCCAAAGAGGTACATTTTCGGAATCAGTGCATCGAGAAGGCCCTGTACACCGATTTTCAGCCAAATCGAAAGACCCCGCTGTTTCCCGTAAAATGTTAACTGGCCGTTAAGTCGTTAACGGTGCAAAATACCACCCCAAAGAGGTACATTTTCGGAATCAGCGCATCGAGAAGGCCCTGTACACCGATTTTCAGCCAAATCGAAAGACCCCGCTATTTCCCGTTAAAATGTTAACTGGCCGTTAACTCGTTAACGGTGCAAAATACCACCCCAAAGAGGTACATTTTCGGAATCAGCGCATCGAGGAGGCCCTGTATATCGATTTTCAGCCAAATCGAAAGACCCCGCCGTTTCCCGTTAAAATGTTAATTGGCCGTTAACTCGTTAACGGTGCAAAATACCACCCCAAAGAGGTACATTTTCGGAATCAGCGCATCGAGGAGGCCCTGTATACCGATTTTCAGCCAAATCGAAAGACCCCGAAATATGCTGCTGTGAGGCTGATATTCGTTGCTGCTGAATTGATAGACGTGCGCGAGTAGGTGTCGGTTCCCGCTTAGTTGCCAAATGGGTCACAAGCGAATAAGCGGGGGGGGGGGGGGAGACCAGCGTAGTAAAGGAATGTTGGGACCAGCCACCTTATAAATGCTTCTTCCATGAGCACGCCAAGTTTGCGAAATGCAAGCGAAACGATAGGTGGGATGAAAAGGAAGGCTTACCATTACCAGCTAAAAATACCTACATAACCTACCTACACAAGCAGCGCATATTTTATATCGCCAGATCCCAAATCCAATCGAAACGTCACAATTCCCGGGTGTATTGTGGACAACAAAACCAGCAATGTCACTGTATTTCAATTACCAGAAAGCAGGTTATCGGGGGCCGACAACGTCCGGGTTAAAACACGCCGGCACTCCCATCCACAGGCGCGTGGCGATTATTCCAACATTTCACCACACAACCAGCAGGACTCGTCAGCAAACAATCTGGGCCGGCAGACGAGCATGAGAGGGCTTTAACTCTGTGGGCAAGCCTCTATTGTGCTGAGTCCCTCGACAGCCTTCATCTGCATAACATTTAACGATGAATTCTTCAGCAGGCGCCGTCTACGCTAATGTGAAGACTGCCTTCGGATGACGCCACTTCTCACCACGGCGAGATCCCGAGACTCAGGGCGCGTCAGCCGCGCGAGGCTCCTCCGTCGCCGTTCGCTTTGTCGGCTCCTGCGCGCTTTCGGCCTCCGCTGCCGATGACTGCCCATTGTCCCCTTCCACAGGGTCGGAAGACGCCTTTGGCGACCCCGCTGTCGCCCCCGCAGCAGCGCTATCGCCACCCACCGCCCCTGCGCCGTCCTCGTCCTTGGTCGCCGCTTCTGCGTCACTTTTGGCCTCGGTCGTCGCTCCTTCGCCACTTTCGCCACCATCTCCCGCGCCTTTCGTCCCTCCCGCGCCATCACTCGTATCACATACCTCACTCTCCTTCTTCCCGTCCGTCTCATCACAGCCTTCCTCTCCCTTCGCCTCTGCGTTCGCCTCACCCTCTCCCGTCCCTCCTTCGCCCTCCTCCCCAGCCGCCTTGGCTAGCTCCACCAGGTTGTATTTCTTCATCGCGAAGTAGTCCCGCACGACACCCAGGCAGATGACGTTCCTGATCACCTCCATGAGCACGGTAAGCGTGGGCGTCTTGTGGTCGAGCCGGGCGGTCGGACACACAGCATCGATCAGACTGTTGATGGCCGACTGGGCGTCCGTTTGAGACAGCTGTGCCTGGTTCCGCGACCTGAGAACGAGAGGGAGGAGGGTTCGAGAGGAACTGTGCATGGTTCCGCGACCTGGAGAACGAGAGAGAGGAGGGTTAGAGAGGAACTTGACGCGCCGCCGCGCTTGACGCGCCGCCTGCACTGGCCCAAGTTGTGCAGCGTCGCTCGGACGTGTCACAGAGACACACCCGATGCTCCCACGGACATCAGTTGGAGCTACCTAAAATTAAGAGTGAGCGAGCGAGGCGCTGTTTCCCTTACAGATCTGTGTCCACGTGGAACAGCGTTGGCGGGGTCGGCAGCGGATGAAAAACCATGTATTTTAGATGTCTTTTATTTCTTTTGGTGTTTAGTGTTTCGCTATTGCGTTGATTTTAGCCTTTTTATGTACGTACTGCGTAATGATTCACGTGTTTGTCAGCGAATTTTAATACTTGTATGTACACGACGAGAGGGCTGAAAAGCCATTTGAATGGAGACCTCAATAAACTGGATTTGGATTTGGATTTGGATTTGGAACTGTGCAGTGTCAGAAAAGTGGCCGTTTTCTCAATTTTTTTGAACTTGGAAGATTTGTTCCGTGAGATTTTTCACTGCTAATAATCACTTTTTTTATTCCGTCACTGACTAAATATCAACTGCAACTGGGCATCACAGGACTGAAAGGGAAACTTACTAAAGAAACATGTTAATTGAAAATTTGACACTTGTGCTTTGTTCTGTTTTCAGATCTCCAAAGCAGCAAGCAAGCATCCTGCAAATACTATTGAAGCAGACAAGAAGCAGTTGCTCCACAATTTCACCATGCAATCATCATAATTGGATCAGTCAAAATGCCAGTCATGATTACTTTCCAAAGTTGAAGTGCTTACAAGGAAGAACTATTGACAATTACCATGTCAAACTATCCAGCACGTTTTAAAACAAGCGTGAAGGAATGAATCCAGTATACGTGCCTTGAATGTATGCTATTGAGTGTGTTTGTGAAATAAATAAATGTTTCCATCACATTTCTGACCCGTTTGTCTACGAATGAGAATCAGTTTACGAAAGAGAATCAGCCCGTGACAGAATGATGCCTACCTACCATCCAATTCAACCATGATCACCTGCATGTCACGTGCACGGAATGAGATTAGATGCTTCTTACGATAAATCAATATTATCACGAACAACCACCCATACCTGCGACTTGAATGGAAAGTCCTCACCACAATGTCTTTGCACCATGCACAATCCACACCACGTTTATGGGTACACTGCCCGGGGTAGACACTGCCATTTCTTTTGCGTATTCTTTCATCAAATCAGTAACCATCGATTTCCTGCTTTCTCGTCCACTATTGGGCAGAAAATGATCTTTATATGCAGAAAAAGCTGATATCAAGAACAATTAAACACTGCTTTTGACCGTGATGCGCATTATTTGTCGAATTTCCGTAAAAGACGCTCTTTCGACCTTTCAGTGAGGCTGCCATATCCTCATAACGGCATTTCAATGGCAGTGAATTTCTCAATTTATGATATTCTTGTTCCGCGACACGGAACAAAAGTAAGGGTAGAATAAAGGTTGAAATAGGCTTGCAATCGGTTCAAATTTGGTATGGCATCGTAGATTATTCAATTCTGATTGTTTCTATGCCAATTTTTTTTATATTTTTATAGACGTTTTCATATAGTTTTATCGAAACGCCGTGACCATGTTTCGTCACGGAACAACTCACTGAATTTGGAACGTTTAAGCAGTTCCGACTATATTTTATAAAAAATTGGATACCGTTAGAATCGTTGAGAGACGGCGCTTTTCATAGCATAAAATTCTTGCCCAGTTGATGCCGATTACAGGTATAATACCGACATATGCTGATATCACTTTTACATGAAGTAATGTTTGTCTAGGGCATAAAATCCCTTTGCTTTTTAACATATTATTTGGAATGAAGCAGCCAGCTTTAGGTCAAATATACATTTATTTTATATTATTTTTGTATTTTATATGCTATTTTGAAGTATTCATTAATTTGAATCAATTTTATCAAATTGAAAACCAGTAAAGGGGAAATCCCTTTCCTCTAATTTCCCTCGCCAGCGGGCCTCCGCGCCATTTCTCAAGGCTCGAGGTGCGAGGCCTCCGTTTGGGCAAGCGTGTGGGACAGTTATCTATTATTGATTATAATCAATAATCATATGTGGCATGTTTTTTTTTGGGGGGGGGTTGTCTTGCACAAGACCTTTTACTTAAAGTGCTGGCATGTTTTTGTGTCTTTGTGGTTCGTTATTTGTTCCAAGCTGGATTGCGTCAAATTTGTCAAACTTGTATTAGATAGGATAGGTAGGTACAAGGCCATTTATACTGATACCATATAGGTAGGTAGGTACCAGTCCACTTGGTTATGTTTTGATGTTGCTTTATTGTATTTCAAATAGTATTTCAATATACTCAGCAGTTTTTGTTTCATGTTAAAATGTGGCATGAAAAGCATATTCTGGATGTTGTGTATATTTTATACCCCATTCATATTTCTCACTTCATTCACAATTTTAATAATAATTTGTATATTTTCCATCATGAATAATTTTTAGCATCAGTGGTCATCCATTACCTACATGTCCAGATTTCCTAACTAGTTATAAATAAGTCTAACACTTGGGCTGTAAGACCACAACCTGCTGCGCTCCTTGAACCCTTATTTTATATGTAGAAGCTGCTGTTTCTGACTGAGACTCTGGCAAATATCTTTATACTTAAAGCGTACCTATAACAATACGCATGGCCCTACAGTGCCTTACTTCAGGATTTTTGTTCCGTGAGCAGCCAAAAATTTTGTTCCGTGAACTTAGATCCCCAAACCACTTTTCTGACACTGGAACTGTGCCTGACTCCGCGAACTGGAAACAACGAGGGAGTAGGGTTAGTGAGGTGCTCTGCCGTATAAAGGCAAAACCCATTATGTTCGGGTGACCTCTGACCTGAGGTAATGGCCTCTGACCCGACATAATAGTTTTTGCCTTTGCACAGCAGTGCTGTGCCTGGTTCCGCGACCTGAGAACGAGAGGGAGTAGGGTCAGTGAGGAACTGTGCCTGGTTCCGCGACCTGGAGACAGAAAGAGGGAGGAATAAGGTCAGTGAGGAACTGTGCAAACAGTGTGCATCGTTCCGCGACCTGAGAACGAGAGGACGGAGGGTCAGGACGTGAGGGATGATCTACTGATCTGTGATCTTTCATACATAGGACCGAAGGTCAGTGTAACTCACGCAGGTCAGACAGTCTCCCGGGCTGTGACCTGTCATAAACAGGACTGAAGGTCAGTGAGGGAAAGTTTACTAAACCGTACCTTGTCCTATGTCAATAAGGGACGGTCTACTGAACTGTAAATTGTCATAAATAGGACCTGTAGTCCCGGCACCGGCCCTGCCGCTTACCGGCTCTGCGCCGGGCCTCACTAATCACTTGCGCCATCTATCACCGCTGCGTCGGTGACTACTTTTATATGCTCCGCGAGGTGGCGCCAGATGTGACGATCAGTATTCAGTATCCAGTATCACGAAGTAGAATAGAATTATTTTAATCATACATCACATTCATTGCTTCGCTTCACAATCATTCATAGTAAATTATTTCATATGTAAATTATCAACTAAGCCGACAAGTTATCAAACCGTAGTAACTAATAATATGTTTTCCGTAGCTCCACTCCAACGACGGCATATTTACGTCTGGACAACGAGTTGCGGGGAAAAGTGCTGATTTTGTCGCAGTTTTAGGAGCCGGTGATGAGGCTGGATTTTTGGGTTACTTTTTCGTTCTGATTCATGCATTTCATAGTGTTTGGCTTTTGAATATTTTAGTTCTTTCAGATAAATATTACTTGCCCTACAACTTTGGTAAAAACGTTTCATTTTTTATAAGCTGACCGTCAGAGTCCTAAAAATACATCAGCACTACAATCATTGTAAACAAACACAAATGGAGCACCGCTTGGCTCTGTTCCAAGGCCATTTTCAAGTTTATCTGGTGGTTTCCGTACTCTTGTACGTCGCTTTGTTGGGTGTTTTGAATCCCTTAAGATTGACTTATATCATATTTAAGAAGCATGTTGACTGAAAACAATCCCAAGTATCAAGAAGGCTGACAGAGGTCCTGACCCTGAGGCCTGAGCAATATAATATATCAAGTTGAACTTGAAGTTATGAAATTTTGGTTGATAAACGCAAGTTGATCGGGCCCACGTATCAGCAAGAAAAAGTAAAATTTAAAGAGCTTATCATTATTGGCCGAAAACAAGCTATAATATGCAGGAGATCTTGGATCAATACTGAAGAGCAGCATCAGCGCTGAGCAGCATCATGCCAGAAAATGTTGACTGATGAGTGCATATTGGTGTGTTGGTATGAATATTGAATGATAACTTACAACAGCAAGATAAGTTAGTGCTAACTATCAAGTGAAAAACCTAGAATGAATGGACTCGGGCAGCTTTACTATGCTTAGATGCTATGCAGACGGTAATGTTGATGTGCATCAGGTACTCAGTGTCTGGCAAATGAAACATGCGATCATTCCATTGCTACTGGAGGAGAAAGCTTGGATCACTAAATCCACTTTTTGATTTTGACGTTAATCATTACTGTATTTCTTGAAAAAAGGATTGTAGTAAAATTGTCAATGTGACAATCCATGCAACGATGTGATCATATGTGTTCATAGTCATTCGTGATAGTGGTTGTTGGTCCAATATACAATGGCAAAGCTCTCAGCGTTTTTTATGTGGATGGCCAGCAGTGCCTCAGAATTTAGAAGTATTAGTTTTATTCACAGGGCTGCTGGGATAAAAAGTACTTAGGGTAATCTTCCAACAAGGAACTTTACTTTGACATGGTATGAGATGTAGGCACAAGTAGGTAGGTGCTTCGTTCCTATAGTCAGTAGTTGTGTAGGTTTAGTTGGGTTAGCTTAAATTAGGTTTTAATTTGCCAAGTGTCCATAAAAATGTGACCTGAGCAGTGCCCGTACCTGACTAACCTGACAGCTGACCTAACCTCAATCATCACACATATTTGCAACCTAGCCAAGACCTGCATAGCAGTAGCACCAAGTTATAGGTAGGTACTCACCCTAACTAAATCTTACCTGCTAACCTTCAACTTGCCAACAGTTAGCTCACCTTGCCAAGCTGCATCCAGGGAAAGTCAACTGAGGAACTGGCTCATTGGGTGGCTGGTGTGAGTCTGTGCATTTAAAGTGTTTCTTCTTTGAAGCTGCTCTGCACTGCTGTATGTCATGTTAGATGCTCAGAAAAAATGTGGGAAATGATAACTAAGCTACTTTAGTGCTTTGTTAATGCTTGAGACATGAACAAGTACAAGTCCTGCGGGGCACAACTATGAGTTAGGTGCTAGGTGAGTATGTTATGTGAATGTGCTGGTTCCCTGTTTGACTGTAGTAAGTATACAAACAAGCACAGGGTCACAGTTATATTCAATCTCCACATAAACATACAACAAAAACAGCCATATAGCCTCACTCCGAACACACCACAAATAACTTAAGCCTTTGCAGGCACAAAAATGCTTTGATTTACAGGACAGGTATACAACATATCCTCTGTCCTTGGGGATCTTGCTGCCAAGTTGAAGTATGATGACTGAACTTCAGGATTGATCAACCTTTTCTTCTTAGCCACTGCTTGTATAAGAGAAAGACATAATGCTTGTTTATAAACTGCCTTGAAAATTTAATGATCCACCTTCAATTCTGGCATGAAGGCACAAATAAAATAGTTCCCTCTCCTCTTGGAATACACAAAGCAAAATATTTAATAACTTTTAGTGGATGGACAAGAGCAATTAGCATATCTCCCCTCAAGTTAACTTCTGGCACTGATGAATTACACTGACACCTCTGATCCAAGATAAACTTGGAATGTGTAAACCTGCCTAGTCAATCATGCAACAGATGAACTTGAGGTCAACATGATATTTTGCGATAGGTATACATCAGCGTTACTTTGCAGTTTGGAACCCTTTTGCTTATTCATTGAGTTCAGTGGCTTATTCGCTTCATATTTTGTAACAAACGCGCAAAAACTGTAATATAACAGCACTATATGCTTTTTGACAAAATGCAATAGTAGTAAAACTTAACCCTGACGGCATTAGTTCTTAATGGAAATGTAATTACAAAATATTTTGTAGTAACTATTAAATTTCGGCTGAAAACAGTGCACGATTTAAAAAAGAATCATTTCCATGACAGTCCATTCTTGCGGTCCTGAAATCGCCACTATTTCCGGCCTCTCCAACGCAACTCGTTGTCCAGACGTAAATATGCCCAACGACGCGACTCCTTCTTCCGTTTCTGGTTTTGTTCCGTGACGCACGTATATCAAGTCTCTAATAAACCAGCATTATTATCACCGTTCAACACGAGTTCTGATATCATATGAAGTAGCGGCCAAGGACACTAAACAACGCGCTACAGACCGATTGTCGTTGAGGGACGGTCTACTGACCTGACAGCTGAATCGGTAGCCTGTTCACCTAGTTCACCTGGAGCCGGTGGTGTAGCTGATTTGATCACCTGACGTAAAAAACAGCAGTGCCAGTGTCTATGGATAATAACGGAGTGGTTCACCTGATGACGTTGGTTTGGCTTACGTGAAGACTGCGGATTAGCTCACTAGCTCACCTGAATGTTTTAGCTCACCTGAGACATTACCTTAGCTCACGTCCTGAATATTGAACAGCGACTAAGCTCACCTGCATATGGTGGTGTAGCTCACTGACACTGGCCCACCAAAGACTGCAGTATGACCCACGGAGTAGTTCACCTGAACACAGTAGTGTAGCTCACGGAGTAGCTCACCTGAAGACGGTCGTATAGCTGACGCCGATCTCAGTGAATGCCTCTTTGATCATTGACTCGGCCGACGCCCGGATGTCCTCCTCCGTCGCCTAAACAAACCAGACTATTAGAACACCACACGGGAAAGAAAGGTTACGCGTCCCTGAACGCCATTGTCGCACAGAGTACAGATCGAGACAACAGCATCACATCGGTTTATTTACTGTGTTCTTCAATTCATTCTCGTCTACCGTTGATCATCGTCTATCGTCCCGAATAAATTCTTCAAAATTCGTCTGTTTTTTTTGTGTGTGCTACAAATCAAAAATCCGGCCTCAGCCAGATCCTCAAGGTCGGCGACATCGGTATTCTACACAAAAACCGTAGTATTTGACAAATTACAGATTCGATCACTACTTTACTGAATGACACTCATCGTTCACCACAAACGAGTCATCAGGGTAAAATATTGACTTTATGAACAAGTCCCTTAGAGCAGTATCCACAGTTACCCAGGCCTTTCACGTGCGTTTGTTACCTTGCACGTGACCTGGACAGGGATGAGTCGGAGCAAGTAGCGGGTCCGCTGGGTGCCCGTGTCGCGAATCTCGCGTGCTATCCGCTCCACCAGCGGTGCTGTCTGCTCCAGCTGCCGGGAACAGGTGCAACGTGGTCACAACAGGAGAGGAGTGGTAGCTATTAAGGAGACCTGAGCTGTCACCAGGTCAGAGTGCAATGGTCACAATAGACAGAGAGCAACATCCTCAGGGGTGTGCGTAGCATGAAAACCACAACGTCCACATTAACCCTCGCCGGCACAGGCCATTTTGCGTCCTTTGACGGCACAAGGGGGTACGACCCCCCTCGCGTTTGGCCCCTGAACGACCTAGAGCTTCGCGGAAAAAAACGAGTGTGTTGCCCGTCACGAGAGGAAGCCGATGATACCCAATTTTAAGGTCCAAGGTCATCGGTTGACCTTTCAGGTCAGGTCAATGACCAAAAAGTCGGGAAAATCGGGACCTGTTAGAAAGTCGTAAAGTGTGGCTGCTATGGGGTTTTTGGGGTGCTGATCACGAATATCGTGTTAGTTTTGATCACAGATGATGTCTTTAAGCATTTAGCCCTGGTCGGGTCAGGTCAGGTCAGGTCAACCAGTAGGGGTCGTGACAGGCATTCGTAGTACGTGTCAACCGCTTCTGACAGCTTCGTATTATGTTACGAAAGGCACCAAAACTTATTCGTAAATGTTTAAATGGCTGTAAATTCGAACTCAGCTCCAAAAACTAGCTTAGAAACATGTAAAACTCCAAAAAAGGAGCTGAGGTCACCAAAGGTCAATGACCTGACCTTCAGGTGACCTTGACGTCCACCCTAATGCATGGGAGCAGCATCAAATCACATGTTTGAACTATGCTTGCAAACGCGCGACAAACTCGAGCAGACACACGGGGAATCGCGATTCCGACCAAACATGGTCTCGGAAAGTAGGTTACAGGTCAAAGGTCATTTGGGTCATGAAATTTTCAGGGTAGGTGTAAAATTAAGAAATGCGAGAGCACTGAACATTTCGTCGTGATAGGCCGTTTTTTACACGAGTTATTCGTGTAAAACCTTAGGAGAGGGTTGGATCAAACCCCCCATGCTGGCAAGGGTCATGCTATCGGACCAGAGGGGAAAACTTTGGGGGAACCAAATAATATACAGTAGGTTATTGTCCCCAACAAGCTGCCGCACCTGAGTGCTTATAAAGATGCAGTTTTTGGCGCCGCTCTCCACCTGCTGGAATCTCCGCTCCTTGGAAACCTTCTGCTCCTTCAGAGCTGCCAGCTCTGCCTCCAGACTCTGCTCCACATCCTGTGATGTGCCCCCAGCTGCTGCTACCTCCTCCTGAAACAAGGTTGATGTTGGCATCAAATAAGGAGAAGGGATATAAGCATGTCCCAAATATCCACTTATGGGTTATGGCACCTCAGTCATTCATAAAGAAACAAAATATAGCAATCATAAAAATGACTCAACCATATATTTGCCTTATAATTGTGCATATAATTAGTATCTAACACTCTAACACAAAGGAGAGCAGGACTCACTTGAACACTGTCTTCTGCACCATACATTTGATTTGCATACTCGTTAAGGATGTTATAGGCTTCACGGACACACTCTCTTTCCTTATTATTTGTTGTGCAGAGAAAGCCCCTCAGACCTGGGTGAAGCTTTCTTTTCTCAAATCTGGCACGTTTTGCTTGGTTGACATAATACTGTTTTTGCTTTCTCTTCTTTTCATTCATGACGAGAGCAGTTTAGCACCCTATTATCGCTTATCTTCTTTTGACTTAACGATTCAGAAAACACCTAGGATTAGCGCATATAGATGCCAACCGCACTAGCACCACAATTTCCACGCGCAACACCAAGCAAGCGCAACACACAGACGACACCAACACTGGCCTTGGACGACACCAAGCCCGACACAAGCAAAGGTCACCACCGTCTTCCGTCGTCTGCAAATGAAATTTGAACGGTTTACGAAGCCAATGACGTCATTCATCCGGAGGAGCGATCTACCAATGACCTTTCAGATTTTGGTCACTTCGAATAGTCATTTTGACATTGATTGGTTTGCGTTGTAATGACGTACAAGAAATGTAGTATAGCAAGAGTTTTCTTTTGCCATTAAGACAAAAACAGCGCTCTTGCTACGCTTGAAAATTCCTCTTTAGCACGCAATTTCAATTTGCAACAGTGTTTTTATTGGTTTTGTGGTGTCCGTAGTGGCCTTGTTTGCAGCAAGCGCGTGTTGGTGTTGGAGGCAAGTTAGAGGCATGTTGTTGGGATTTTACATGTATTGAAATGCTAGAAAACCTGATGCAGCCAAAAGAAAGGTTTTCTGGAAAGCTGAAGACTTGTGAATAACCTGAACAGTGAGGCTGACCACTACAGACTGGCAATTTGGTTTAAAGTCAAGGTATTGGGGCAAGTTGTGTCCAATTTTAACTCCCCACCGGCTGTGGGAAACTGAATGAAGTACTGGCGTTAGTGCGTGCACATTGCACGGCATTGCACACGCCTTTGCTCATACACATGCTGCCTTGGCACACTTTGTGAGATGGAAGATCAAGGTGGTAGGTTTTTGTTGGCAGGGGAGGAAGATGCCTTTAAAGAAAAGGCCGGAAGCTTGTTCGATGCTCTCAATGGTGTGCAGTATTCACCAACTCAAGATGCAGATGGGTATTTAAAAAATGATCCTCAGAAAGATTTGAAGCATTCAAACATGACCCAACACAGGAGAAATGCAACTGAAGAAAGCTCTAGACCTCACAGAGGTAGCTCATCAAGCTTGATGCCTCCCCCAAGAAGACCTGCATTGAAAAGAAGAGGTGGACACTCTCTTCCAGAGCATGTGAAAAATCCTTCAAAGTTTACCAAATATTCACTGGATGATGTGCCAGATCAGCAACTGACACAAAAGTCCAACACTGCTGCTGCACTGGCATTCCTTCGTGAAATTGATGAAAAGAAAAGGAAAGATCAAGATGAAACAGATGAAGACACATCAAAAGATCAAAGGCCAATATTTAAAAAGCCAACAAACAAAACCAAAGACAAGCAAAAAGGAGATTCGTCCTCATTACCTAAACCTCCAGATCCTGAAGAACCTACTGGGCCTAAGACCAAACCTAAGCACAAATCTAAAGGAAAAGAGATCAAGCTCTCTCATCTTGAGTATGAGGATGAGTAGTTTGTGCCATATGGTTTGGCTGAATGATACATAAATGCACTCATTGTTGTCATGCTACTACTACCATGTGCGAAATACAACCACGATTTGCTCGAGATGCAGTGATTTAAAGTGAAGTTTGTCTGGGCTTTTTTCGAAGTACTCCGCCACCCATGATCAGGTGACCAGGAGTGCCCCCACCCTCAAACCATGGATAAGAGATCTAATCCATGCTCAAACCCAGCGACTAGCAGAACCTTACGTTAACACCAGACGAAATAAACAGATAAGTCGCGGCACTCCCTGCTAAGAAAGCAAATAAAATATAAAAAAGCAAACGAGAGAAGGGGGTAGCGGGCTTAGACGGAGACAAGAACAGAATGCGAAAGTAGCCACTGCTGAAATAATATTGTGCATTTTGCTCCTTATATCAGTGATACCAGTACCTAAAACTACAACAGAATAGAAATGTCATGTATTTGTAGATAAGACACAACACACTTGACATGCAGTCAGATGACCAGAAAGGTGTTCACCTTTTCATCCACTTTGTGGAAGCAACCCTAAAGCCTCAAGTAGTGGAGCACATCTGCACACAATGTGAGTAGTGAGGATGCCTGTACCTGAGTTATAGAGGTCGCATGATAATTTGATCACTCTGAGTCCAACAGCCTAACGCGACGTTTACATAAGCCTTCCTGCCTCTCTGCATTGTCGTGAGTTCTGTCTACGTTCATGTAAAGCACCAGACCAACTTCAATTAAACTTCTCTAGGCTTTGGGCTAGTAGAAAACCATGCACACCCACTCATTAACCATGATAAAACTGTGTGCCTCTGCGCGCTCCTCGCATGTGACACACGGCAGTACTGAACGATATGACTTCCGCTGGTACGTCGTCCCCTGTCGACATCGCCCGAATCGGTCTCACGGACCATCTGTTACACACTGCAGGGCTAACACAACGTGAGAAACGAAAACGAAGGACTTGACTAGCATGATCTGCTGCTTCTGCTACCGCACAGGAAACCAGAGCAAGCCCCCGCCGCCAATATTGGACCACAATCACAGTCATTCATCGGAAAAAATGTCCGCTACAGAGCGCTTAGCACCGCGTACGCTCAGATACCGACAGAACGGGCTCCCACCAAACGGTCGTGCCCTCAACACCGTCATCCCAAGCCACCATGGGCATAGCACTATCTTACCGTCGGCTGTCTAGCCTTCCTATGAGATCACGTCCTCCGTCCCTGCCGCCATCCCTCACGTGCATACCAGTGCCCCTCTGCTCTCACTGGAGCGTTTCTGACTCGTCCTGCCCCACTTCCTTCTGCAGACGCTCCAGAAGAGCCCGCTGCCGCTGCTCGTCCAGGCCGGCCTTCTTGGCGAACGAGGCGCAGAACTCGGCCAGGTCTGTGCCTGTAACATGGGATCGCAGGATGAGAGCGTATTTGAGGCATTTCCAGTTCGCCCCTACGGCCCAGAGGCAGAAGAATGGAGATGAGCACCTAACATCGGATGTTGTATTGCGAGTTTTATCTGCCTTTAACTCAGTGAGAAAGAAATAGAAGCAAGGAGTAACAAGCAGTCAAACAAGCAGCACTACTGCTAAAGTAACATACAACACCATAACTTGGCAAACCAACAACTTTTAATGGCAAATACATATAAGTACGCACAATAGTCCTTCAAAAGCAGTGCTAGAAAGGCATTATGGACGGACTTCATCGTAGACCAGTATAAAACAAAGAGCGCAAGAATTACCGGGGTTACATGAGCAAGTAAATGCGTATCAGGAACGGATTTTCCTATTTGCTCACCATTGTAGTCCGTTTGTAATGCGTATTAACTCTGCTCATGTAACCCCGAGCAATGACTACATTAGATAAACTGAAGTATTGCTGCCTATCAGCATGCCAGCTACCCTTAAGACATATATGACGACTGTCGATATGGTTTTACATGGGTATCACTACCTTCCAAGAAGGACTCGTGGCGCACCGCTCCGCTGCTGGTGTCGCAGTACTCCAGTCTGAAGAGCACGGCGCGAGGCGGCACGGCCGGCTTCCGCGCCACCGGCGGAGTATAGACAGCACGGTCCGGACGTCGGGGGACTCGGCGCGTCCTCCGCGCCGGCACCGTCTGCGACGACCTCTGGAGAAGCGGGGCAGAGCGAGAGAACACGTCCAGGAGGGCCGTCTCAGCACACATGCGGGATGATGGATGGACATCTTACGGCTTACGCAGTCTCAACGGAGTCATAACGGTAAAGGGTGATTTGACCTGATAATATGTCATCAGTCCGGTGATCGTTTTTTTTTCGACAGGATCCAGGCCACGTATTTTCTAGATAGTTTCGTTTCTACTCCAAACGACAGCTTTGCTCTCATCCAGTAACATATTGGAAGAGAAAATCTAGTGGAAATGAAACCGAGTAAAAGATGTTGGAACATGTAAACATGATCAATGTAAACCACATCAGTGTGGTAAGAAGACATGCTGCACAATTACCTGGTCCATCTTCTCTTTCATCTCCTGATCGTATCTATCCCTGTCTAGCTGGTTTCTAACGACAAATTTTACGAAACCGTGCTCCATGTTTAGGCGTGCCTGAAATATAACAGAAAAAAAATGAATGGAACTACACCCATGTGTTCCAAAGAATTCAGACTCGTAAGATATATGGCCTTTAACGACAAAGAGTTCGCTTCGTGCACATCAACATGCTTTAATGGCATTGAAAGCAGCTTACGGCAGTCTGTTGGGGGGCTACCACCGCCATCGGTATCGGGATCGTTCTGGGTTCTGGCGACATTTCTCAATTACGAGGTCCTTCTAGCTGACATGTGCGTGGATCCGAGAAAATGGATAAGTGATGATTCCACAGATCCTTATCTCGGATCCGATGGGATCGTAGATCCAGCTCGTCAATTTATCGAGATTCATAGGGATAATAGATCAAAGCCCAATTTTTCCAATCAAGGGTTGAGATCCAGTGAGATCTAGATCATTTTTTGCCAGCATAGAAATCCTTAACATTGATTTGTAGCAACTCACAAAAATCCTGTTATGGCAATTTTATGTGATTGCACATCATAATAATTAGTTTTGAGGCACTTATACACATAACAATGCTTGGAAACATAGTTCCAAATGTTGTGCAAGATGGAATCCATTTGGATCATTGATCCAAGTCCTTGGTTTACCTTCGGTTCCTATGAGATCATAGATACAGGAATAATTTTTCATATGGGATCCCGTGGGATCATAGATCCCTACTTACACTGAACAATTCGCTTTAGGATCCACTGATGTCACAGATCCATCACTCAGATCCCTGCACAATGCACATGTCTGCCTTCTAGTTTACTTAAAATCATGCTGACCTGGTGGTAAATCCTTTGCTAATCAAATCTGCAATGTGATTAATCATTGATGGCTGGGGTCAACTGATGGTCACTGTCAACTGAGCCATCAGTATCAAATACCAATTCGACCAAGGATGACTGAGAGGATAACTTATATTACAAGAGTGATGGGCTGTAATATGAAGGAGGTCCAACACCTCATGGTGACATTACCCCTACTTACCGTCTTAGTGTACATTTCCATGATTCAGATTCCAGCCTGTCTCCAGTTCAGCACGTGCTATACGAGTACTGTGTAGCTAATAAATGATAATGCTGAAACATATCATAGTAATCAGATCACAATCACACTCATGTCACATCTAAATCTACACCATGTAACTAACATGACTACGGTCTAGGTGTCACACAATTTACATATAACAGTCACATAAACAGAATAAACTATTAGCATGAGACTTCACTTTGCTCTTTGAATTCAAATTTAGCACCAGTGGCGCAGCCAGGGGGAGGGGTGAAAGGGGTGAGAAAGGGCCCAGTTGCGGTATTAGAGGGCCCATTTTCGAGATGAGGGACAAAATCCGATTTATGTGAATAAATTCTGACGAATGACGAAATTATGACAAATAAATTCATGTTTTTTACATTTTTCATAAATAAGCATAGGTATAAGTTATAACTCGTAAAACAATAAAGCTAGAGATTCGCTTTAGAGATTTAGATAACAACTCATTCGACAGGACTTTCAAACCCCTTTCGCTTTCATGTCATTAAATTTGACCTCAATGCCTCATGCATAGGCGGCGGAACGGGGAGGGCACCAGGGCACAGTGCCACCCTTTGAATTTGGCATTTTAACATTAGCCCTAATCCTATGGGCATTGCACAGAAAGAATGGGACCAAAAGTCGGCAGTGCCCCCCTTAATTGAAGGAGTTCTGCCGCTACTGACCTCATGTTAACGGTTTCGCAACAGAGGGCAAAACCATCAAAATAGAAATGTTTTGCCGCAATAATTTTGCCACTTTTTAATAACTTTGGTGTAATAATATATGACAAGTTAATTTTATCATTACTGTTTTCTTGTCAAGTTGCATGGATTGAGCTAAAATTTCACCCCTAATCCAATGTATACATTTTTAATACCGCCTAAATGCTATGATGGAGCAAATCTATTGTGAAAAATCGCCTTAACTTGTGTCATGGAAACATAGCTTATGATTATTCCCAAGGTTTTGCGATTTTTCAAGAATGTTCGGCAGAACAGCAACTTTTTGTTGTTGGTTGGGTAAGGGGCCAACTTTGTTTGAGGGGGCCGATTTCGCTGGAAGGCCCAGCCCATCACAAACACCTCTTGCCCCAGTCACCAGAGTTCTGACTGCACCCGTTTAGCACAAACTTATTCCAACATCATCCTATTACCGCATGCAGCAAAAGTAAGACATTTTTAGTTTGAAAATAAGATGAACAAGTCAAAATGCAGTTTTGTCCAAATGTTGGTTGCTGTTGTGGTTTAGGGCGCTTAGCGGCGAGGCTCTTGCGTCCAACGTCTTGATTTGTGAAGTTCACATACTTGCACTCATCTTCGTTGGGAAGATTGGGAAACTAAGCAGGGTAAACTAAGCGGTGAAAGGGTTAAAGGATGGTTATCGCAGGGTAGGAATTTCAGCAGGGACAGGTGATTGGCGAGGACAGTAGACGTTTAAGTTAGTTTGGTTAATCACCAACTGTATTCTAAGCTATCTACGCCTCCAGACTTCTGTAAAAAAAACTTTGTTAGTGAAAGCATCTACATGATCAAGTGATACTTAGTAGGTATATGCTAAGTTGGGGTAGCCAACCATACCGTGGCATCTAGACAACAATCGGGGGAAAACATGAGGAACAAGACATGATAAGCAACAGTGCATGGTGACAACTCGTCGATCACAACATCGTAAACAGGCGACAATCCTTAAGATATTGGAACACTGCATCAAGTAGCGCTGGCGTTTTATCACCCAACAGCGACCGAACATCCATTCTCACGTCATGTAGCAAGCAAGCTGTAGCTAGCTGTTGTCGTTCTCGACGATACTTAGGACACACTATCAAAAAATGTGTGACATCCAGTTCACAGTGGCATAGGTCACAGAGTGGAGGTCGATCTCGATCAATTATGTAACGATGAGTAAGCAGCAAGGCATTGGGCATTCTAGTGATTAAATGTGCGAGTTCATTGCTGGTAAAAGCTTCTGCAGGGGGAAGATACAATGAGCATATGGTGATCCGTCTGTTGTGTATGCGAACTGAAACCACCACAGCCTGTAGTTTTGTGTTGACGCTGACCTGCATATGAGGCAGTTTGTTGGTAACATATATGGTGACACCACCTCCTCGACCACCCTGAGGAGGAGGAGGTGGTGTCCAAATACCTTACCTTACCTTACCTTACCTTACGGTGTTCGGGCATAATAAAGGCCAACTCGGCCTGGAGGTCCCGTTCTAACCGAGCTCCTGTCCCTTTTGCCATTTGTTAATCCGTGTCTGGTATATGATACCAGTGATGGCCCCAGTGGGCATCGAGTCTCGCCTTGAACGAGTCCACGGTGGGGGCACTGACCACTTGAGCAGGTAGGCCGTTCCAGTCGTTCACGGCCCTGACTGCGAATGCAGCTCTCCTCAGTCTGCTGACCGCCTCTGGCTTCCGGAGCTTGTGTGGGTGACCTCATGTAACGGCACCCGTGGCGGGGCAGAAGAGATCCGTGACTTCAACATCAACCCCTCCATGGAACATCTGGTAGGTGAATATCATGTCGCCCCGTTTGCGTCGGTAGTACAGCGATGGAAGTTTCAGAGCCCTGAGCCTCTCTTGGTAGGGCAGGTGGCGAAGGTTGGCCACCATGCGCGTAGCTCTGCGCTGTACCCTCTCCACCAGCTTCTGGTCCGCCCTGTTGAAAGGGCCCCACACGAGGTTGCCGTACTCGAGGTGCGGGCGCACCAGGGACTTGTAAAGCAGCGGCAGCGTGCACTCGTTTATCAGCACGAATGAGCGACGGATCACAGCGAGAATCTGGTTGGCCTTGGCTACGGCTGCTGAAGCATGTTGTCTGAACTTCAGCTCGTCATCGAGGTCACCGAGGTCACCTGAGGCCAAAAGGTCACCTGAGGCCTGATTTGCCTAACCAAATGTTAGGCAAAATTTCAAGGAAAGAAAGTCCGAGTCTGAGCAGCACAATCGGCAATCGCAAGCATTCCAGCTGAGCAATGGCCAACCGCCAAGGCCATGGCATTCTTTGAAAATAAATGCAGGACATGCCAAACAAATCAGTTGATTTGTGTCAAAACTTAAACGTTCGTTTTGGGTAAATTAATCAATTCAACTCTAACATTTTGATAAGTGATAACTGAGACTCAATCCGCGGAGATCTATAAAAACCCTGCGGAGATTTTCAGCGAGTTACTCTAACGGGCATTATATCAAGGCCATCCATTATATAATCAGGGACAACACTATTCGACCGCCACCCTTGCAGCCATTCTATAACTCAGGAACTACTGGACCGATCGGAACGAACGAAACACCATTCCAATCAAGGGGTACGATTTTATCAGCCGTTTCGAAGCTCGTGACCCCAGGTGCCCTCGGTGACCTCAAGAGGTCAAATCGGCATTGACGCCTATTGCAGCCATTCTATAACTCAGGAACTACTGGGCCGATCGCGACAAAAACACCACCAGTCGAATCAGCGTATGCAATTTCATCAGCCGTTTCGAATATGGTGACCTCAGGTGACCTCGGTGACCTCAAAAGGTCAACTTAACGTTTTTGCCTATTGCAGCCATTCTATAACTCAGGAACTGCTGGGCCGATCGCGACGAAAACACCACCAGTCGATTCAGCGTATGCGATTTCATCAGCCGTTCCGAATATGGTGACCTCAGGTGACCTCGGTGACCTTGGGAGGTCACATGACCGTTGTGGCCTATGGCATCCATTCTATAACTCAGGAACTACTGGGCCGATCGTGACGAAAACACCACCAGTCGATTCAGCGTATGCGATTTCATCAGCCGTTTTGAATATGGTGACCTCAGGTGACCTCAGTAACCTTGGGAGGTCACATGACCGTTGTGGCCTATGGCAGCCATTCTATAACTCAGGAACTGCTGGGCCGATCGTGACGAAAACACCACCAGTCGATTCAGCGTATGCGATTTCATCAGCCGTTTTGAATATGGTGACCTCAGGTGACCTCAGTAACCTTGGGAGGTCACATGACCGTTGTGGCCTATGGCAGCCATTCTATAACTCAGGAACTGCTGGGCCGATCGTGACGAAAACACCACCAGTCGATTCAGCGTATGCGATTTCATCAGCGGTTTCGAATATGGTGACCTCAGGTGACCTCGGTGACCTTGGGAGGTCACATGACCGATGTGGCCTATGGCAGCCATTCTATAACTCAGGAACTACTGGGCCGATCGCGACGAAAACACCACCAGTCGATTTAACGTATGCGATTTCATCAGCTGTTTCGAATATGGTGACCTCAGGTGACCTCGGTGACCTCAAAAGGTCAACTTCACGTTTTCGCCTATTGCAGCCATTCTATAACTCAGGAACTACTGGGCCGATCGCGACGAAAACACCACCAGTGGATTCAGCGTATGCGATTTCATCAGCCGTTTCGAATATGGTGACCTCAAGTGACCTCGGTGACATTGGGAGGTCACATGACCGATGTGGCCTAAGGCAGCCATTCTATAACTCAGGAACTACTGGGCCGATCGTGACGAAAACACCACCAGTCGATTCAGCGTATGCGATTTCATCAGCCGTTTCGAATATGGTGACCTCAGGTGACCTCAGTGACCTTGGGAGGTCACATGACCGTTGTGGCCTATGGCAGCCATTCTATAACTCAGGAACTGCTGGGCCGATCGCGACGAAAACAGCACCAGTCGATTCAGCGTATGCGATTTCATCAGCCGTTTCGAATATGGTGACCTCAGGTGACCTCGGTGACCTTGGGAGGTCACATGACCGATGTGGCCTATGGCAGCCATTCTATAACTCAGGAACTACTGGGCCGATCGCGACGAAAACACCACCAGTCGATTCAGCGTATGCGATTTCATCAGCCGTTTCAAATATGGTGACCTCAGGTGACCTCGGTGACCTCAAAAGGTCAACTTAACGTTTCCGCCTATTGCAGCCATTCTATAACTCAGGAACTACTGGGCCGATCGCGACGAAAACACCACCAGTCGAATCAGCGTTTGCGATTTCATCAGCCATTTCGAATATGGTGACCTCAGGTGACCTCAGTGACCTTGGGAGGTCACATGACCGTTGTGGCCTATGGCAGCCATTCTATAACTCAGGAACTACTGAGCCCATCGCGACGAAAACACCACCAGTCGATTCAGCGTATGCGATTTCATCAGCCGTTTCGAATATGGTGACCTCAGATGACCTCGGTGACCTTGGGAGGTCACATGACCGTTGTGGCCTATGGTAGCCATTCTATAACTCAGGAACTACTGGGCCGATCGTGACGAAAATACCACCAGTCGATTCAGCGTATGCGATTTCATCGGCCGTTTTGAATATGGTGACCTCAGGTGACCTCAGTGACCTTGGGAGGTCACATGACCGTTGTGGCCTAAGGCAGCCATTCTATAACTCAGGAACTACTGGGCCGATTGCGACGAAAACACCACCAGTCGATTCAGCGTAAGCGATTTCATCAGCCGTTTCGAATATGGTGACCTCAGGTGACCTCGGTGACCTTGGGAGGTCACATGACCGATGTGGCCTATGGCAGCCATTCTATAACTCAGGAACTACTGGGCCGATCGCGACGAAAACACCACCAGTCGAATCAGCGTATGCGATTTCATCAGCCGTTTTTAATATGGTGACCTCAGGTGACCTTGGTGACCTTGGGAGGGAGGCTGCCATAGGCCACAACGGTCATGTGACCTCCCAAGGTCACTGCGGTCACCTGAGGTCACCATATTCGAAACGGCTGATGAAATCGCATACGCTGAATCGACTGGTGGTGTTTTCGTCACGATCGGCCCAGTAGTTCCTGAGTTATAGAATGGCTGCAATAGGCGAAAACGTTAAGTTGACCTTTTGAGGTCACCGAGGTCACCTGAGGTCACCATATTCGAAACGGCTGATGAAATCGCATACGCTGATTTGACTGGTGGTGTTTTCGTCGCGATCGGCCCAGTAGTTCCTGAGTTATAGAATGGCTGCCAAAGGCCACATCGGTCATGTGACCTCCCAAGGTCACCGAGGTCACCTAAGGTCACCATATTCAAAACGGCTGATGAAATCGCATACGCTGAATCGACTGGTGGTGTTTTCGTTGCGATCGGCCCATTAGTTCCTGAGTTATAGAATGGCTGCCATAGGCCACATCGGTCATGTGACCTCCCATGGTCACCGAGGTCACCTCAGGTCACCATATTCGAAACGGCTGATGAAATCGCATACGCTGAATCGAATGGTGGTGTTTTCGTCGCGATCGGCCCAGTATTTCCTGAGTTATAGAATGGCTGCAATAGGCGAAAACGTTAAGTTGACCTTTTGAGGTCACCGAGGTCACCTGAGGTCACCATATTCGAAACGGCTGATGAAATCGCATACACTGAATCGACTGGTGGTGTTTTCGTCGCGATCGGCCCAGTAGTTCCTGAGTTATAGAATGGCTGCCATAGGCCACAACGGTCATGTGACCTCCCAAGGTCACCGAGGTCACCTGAGGTCACCATATTCGAAACGGCTGATGAAATCGCATACGTTGAATCGACTGGTGGTGTTTTTGTCACGTTCGGCCCAGCAGTTCCTGAGTTATAGAATGGCTGCCATAGGCGAAAACGTTAAGTTGACCTTTTGAGGTCACCGAGGTCACCTGAGGTCACCATATTCGAAACGGCTGATGAAATCGCATACGCTGAATCGACTGGTGGTGTTTTCGTCACGATCGGCCCAGTAGTTCCTGAGTTATAGAATGGCTGCCATAGGCCACAACGGTCATGTGACCTCCCAAGGTCACCGAGGTCACTTGAGGTCACCATATTCAAAACGGCTGATGAAATTGCATACGCTGAATCGACTGGTGGTGTTTTCGTCGCGATCAGCCCAGTAGTTCCTGAGTTATAGAATGGCTGCCATAGGCCACATCGGTCATGTGACCTCCCAAGGTCACCGAGGTCACCTGAGGTCACCATATTCGAAACGGCTGATGAAATCGCATACGCTGAATCGACTGGTGGTGTTTTCGTCGCGATCGGCCCAGTAGTTCCTGAGTTATAGAATGGCTGCAATAGGCGAAAACGTGAAGTTGACCTTTTGAGGTCACCGAGGTCACCTGAGGTCACCATATTCGAAACGGCTGATGAAATCGCATACGCTGAATCGACTGGTGGTGTTTTCGTCGCGATCGGCCCAGTAGTTCCTGAGTTATAGAATGGCTGCCATAGCCCAGCTAACAATTTGCCGTTGTTACAACGTCGTTTAAACGTTGTCAAATGGTTACCACAACGTTCCGATTTGTCGTTGTGACAACGTAATTTTGTAGACTCCAGACAACGGCGTGACAACGTCATCCGACCATGCATTTGAATGTCATCACAACGTTTCGGTAACGTGACCGTGACGTCCCAAAACCGTTCTCACAACGTCCCGCCAACGTTATGAAATGTTTTCTGTAACGTGCCAACAGTGTTTCTGGAACGTTGTCACCACGTTTCCACAACGTGACTACAACGAGTATAGAACGCTTTGGCAACGTCTCTGCGACGTTTCTGAACGTTTTTATCACGTGCGCACCACGTTGTCGCTACTTCGTATTGCCGTCCCTGCGACCCCGAGTAAACGTTCTAAACATTTTCGCAACGTCCTCTCAACGTGTTCGCAACATACTCAGAATGTGTTTCCGGCGCTCTCTTCCCGTTCTCTAGACTTGTAAAAAAGCACGCCAGAACTGGTGGAAGTTCACTTCTTCACTAACCCTCGCTGGGAGGATCACTCGGCGAACCGTTAGGCACCGGCTCATTTGCGGCCTCGATGTCCCTCGGCAGCTGGCAGTGCCTGACCAGACGGTCTGCACGCCCCCCGTTCCGGTCGCAGCTTCCGGACAGCCACTTCGCTACCGCCTTGCCGACAGTGGGCCTGCCACAAGGCGCGCTGACGAGTTGCAGGACGTCTGCGGGAAGACATGAGGGAAAATCAGACATATTCAATTCATGAAAAAAATCACAAAAATACCTTCACCACTTCCCGTAACAGTGCGACAGGCTAGATCAAACATGTCAACACCTTAGAGGCTAGAGCTACAATGAACTATAGCCCAGACCGCACGATATTACAAATTTACAAGGCACAATCTTGCAAATGCTACTCGTAAATGGTACTTTGACTTACCAGTCAAAACAACAATCACATCAAGCGCAGACAACTGGCGCTGTCTTTCATCTTCCAGCTACCTCAGCCGCGCCCGCCGCCAGTCCTCACTGCTTGCTCGGGCCGCGCAGACTGCGGCTCGGCCGGCTGGCTCTGAACGCCGGCCGGTGACACTGACGTCACGGCCCCTCCGGCGAGGTCAGGGCGGCCGCCTCCGCTCGACACTGGCTGCCGGCGTGGCTCGCTGGCAGCCGCAGATAACAGCCGCGTTTACATAGGGATAGTTGCAAGCCTCTAGCTCCGCCTGTGATGTTGCAAAACATGCCAATGACGCTTTGCAATTTACACAATGATCTCATCTAAATATACGAAAAGTACTACATTAAAATTATCGCAGAAGAAGTGAGCAACAGCCCCGACAAAAATGCTATGTAACCGGGCATATTGTTTGGGTGGCAGGGAGCCGGATTTGTGCCGGACTTGGCGGTCCGAAACCATACTAACTCCGGAGCGCTACGGCAAAGACTGGCTAACCGGAGTCACCATCAAATTAATACCCACCCGCCATTTAACTATATGCTATACATACATATATATATATATATATATATGTCAAATTTAACGATGAAAACTGAAACTGCGCATTGGAAGTCAAAGGAAATGCATTATATGGCCATATATGTCACCATGCATTATCAAAATATAATGTTGCAAGTGCGCGGTTGCTGCAACGTACCAATAAAACGTTGTCACAACGTTTTACCACAACTTTAGGACCAAACCATGGCTTCACAACGTTCAGAACGTTGCTAGAACGTAATTAAAACGTAATTTCGCAACTTACCGAAACACGACGTTGTGACAACGTTGTACTAACGTTTCCTGTTAGCTGGGAGGCCACATCGGTCATGTGACCTCCCAAGGTCACCGAGGTCACCTGAGGTCACCATATTCGAAACGGCTGATGAAATCGCATACGCTGAATCGACTGGTGGTGTTTTCGTCACGATCGGCTCAGCAGTTCCTGAGTTATAGAATGGCTGCCATAGGCCACAACGGTCATGTGACCTCCCAAGGTCACTGAGGTCACCTGAGGTCACCGTATTCAAAACGGCTGATGAAATCGCATACGCTGAATCGACTGGTGGTGTTTTCGTCACGATCGGCCCAGTAGTTCCTGAGTTATAGAATGGCTGCCATAGGCCACAACGGTCATGTGACCTCCCAAGGTCACCGAGGTCACCTGAGGTCACCATATTCGAAACGGCTGATGAAATCGCATACGCTGAATCGACTGGTTGTGTTTTCGTCGCGATCGGCTCAGCAGTTCCTGAGTTATAGAATGGCTGCAATAGGCGAAAACGTTAAGTTGACCTTTTGAGGTCACCGAGGTCACCTGAGGTCACCATATTCGAAACGGCTGATGAAATCGCATACGCTGATTCGACTGGTGGTGTTTTTGTCGCGATCGGCCCAGTAGTTCCTGAGTTATAGAATGGCTGCAATAGGCGTCGATGCCGATTTGACCTCTTGAGGTCACCGAGGTCATCTGGGGTCACGAGCTTCGAAACGGCTGATAAAATCGTACCCCCTGATTCGAATGGTGTTTCGTTCGTTCCGATCGGTCCAGTAGTTCCTGAGTTATTGAATGGCTGCAAGGGTGGCGGTCGAATAGTGTTGTCCCACATTTGGGCGCACCATTGAAGGTATTCCGTCTTTTATATCTATGGTATTCCGTATTTGTAGCAGTTTTCCTTCGCCCAATCAGCGTTTTGTAATGTAGTGTTTTGCTGTATTTTCTCACGGAGTGTTTTTACAAACATTCCTTGCCTCACGGTTAGGCCGACTCATTAGTCATTAATCATTCAACTCAGTTCACGTTGAAGTTGATTGATTAATAGTCAGAAACTTTTTTTTTGTCATAAATAGGATCCATCTGATTAACCGGCCCCTGCTGGAGTGGGGAGGAGTAGGTGAGCTTTTTCATAGATAGCGGGTAAACCGCGTCGTGTAGCGCCGCGAAATTTGGCATGCCTATTCGGTATTCCCTCCATCAATTTTACACATGGTGTGGGTTTCAAGGTCAGGTCACTAGGTCACTTCGAATGACCCGCTTCCAAAGTCCAATCACTTTTTGCAACTTTGTCGGCGTCTCAGAGAAACAGTCATAATAGGCGTAGCCGTAGGAGCAGGGGGGGGGGCATGGCCCCCCACTTTCGGAGGGGGGGCAGCAATGTTAACTGCCCCCCCCCCACTTTTTGCTGACTTTGGTGTCTGTCTATAGTTGTACCTACCACCCGGTACCCTAAACACCACAACTTGACGACTGTTCAGCTTGCCCGTTAGTGAAGATTCCCTGTTGTTTCTACAGCGTTATTAGTTATACTGAGCGAATAGTTTTACTAGCAAAAAAGACCGCAGGCCAATCGTTCCAGCGGTTGCTAAGATATAAGCCTCTCAAAAGCGTTACAGGCCGGGCCGGGCCGGGCCGGGCCGGGCCGCCAGCCCATAGACCCGGGAACAGGGGGGGGGGGGGCAGCGGGGGCGCTTGCCCCCCGAACTTGGGAGCCGAGGGGGCGGCGCCCCCTCAACATTGAGGCAGCGAGAAAAGATCTTTCCTCCCTTTTCCGGACTTCTTTCCTTCTTGTATCCTCTATACATCTAAACATCAACACACGACATTTTCCTTACCATCTGAATGGTTTCTGCTAATACAGTATCGATTGACAACATCTGCTATTGTCATCCCGCTTTGATTTGGGCTGGGCCTGACCTTGGCCATAAGTTTGGCAGGCCAGATTTTATGCTGGACCATTTTGAGTCAACGTTGAAAAATACATAACGTACCAGTATAACGCCTTTTGGGGCGACTAACGGAGCGAGCGAGAGGGTGGGCCTTGCACGTGCGAAATTGCGAGGGGGTACCTCCAACTGACTTGTGCACGGCACCCTACGAACTGGTCTCTAGCGATGTGCCAAATTTGGGCACAATCGGCCCAGCCGTTCTCGAGATCTGGAAGCGGCACCCTGCACGTGCGCACGTGCAAAATGGGTCCCAACTGACTTGTGCACGGCACCCTACTAACCGGTCCCTAACTGTGTACCAAATTTGAGCGCAATCGGTCGAGCCGTTCCCGAGATCTGGAAACGACCCCTGCACGTGCGCACGTGCAGCAGCGCCCCAACTCTGGCACATGTATATGCAGTGCCTAGTGGGTGCCTACCTACATGCCAACTTTCAGCGCAATCGGCCAAGTAGTTACCGAGATATTGCAACAATTACAAAAGTGACACCTCTTCGTTTTGCACGTGGCACGTGCATAAGGGGTCACCCACATGCATCGGGAATAGTCCAATACTTGGTAGAAGGAATGAAGCTACCCTACAAAAATTACCGCGTGTAAATCGGTCAAGTGGTTGCTGAGATATAAGCCTCGCAAAAGCGTGACCACGGCCGGCCGGCCGGCCGGCCGGCCGCTCATACTCAGAAATTTCCGTTAATCTAAGGAAAGACTACGCTCGCTTCGCTCGCTCCGTAACAACGAAGTAAAATCGTTGCTGTAGGTATAACACAGTTTACCCGCTCCGGGTGTGAGGGAGGGGTGTGGGGCAATGAGTGCACTGACGTGGCGCCGTCGGAGGGTCTGTATGGGATTTAAGCTCAGCGACACTAAGGGCTTGTGTGGTGCCTTCGGTTATCGGTAGCACCCTCAGAATCACCGGCGTAGGGCCCTCAGAGCCGCCGGTAAGGGGCCTTTAGAGGCACTGGTGTGGGGCCGTCATGCAGGTGCCGGTGTGGGCGCTCAGAGGTGCTAGTGTGATTCTCTCAGAGGCGCCGATGAGGGTCCTTACAGGCGTTTTGTGGGCCCTCATAGACGCTGGTGTGAAGCCGTTACAGACGGGTGTGGGGCCTTTACAGCTGCTAACGCGAACTCTCTACGAGCCGGCAGGGGGTCTAGGTGACCGGCCAGGGGTCCTTAGGCCGGCAGAAGAAGTCCTGTGGGGTCCTTCGAGACCGGCATGGTACTGTCAGACGCCGGTGGGGCCCTCAGTCCTCAGAGTCACCGGTGACTCAGAGTCAGAGTCACCGGTGTGGGCCCTCAAAAGTCACCAGTGGGTGGCCTTTAGATGCGCGGGTGTTGGTTGGGTCCTCAGAGCCGCCGATATAGGGCTTTAATAGGCACTGGTGTAGGCACTCAGAGTTGGGGGTGTGAAACCCTCAGAGACACCGGTGTGGGCCCTCATAGGCGCCGATGAGGTCCCCACAGTTGCCGTTATGGGGCCCTCATGAAATAAGTGTTGGACCATCACAGGCGGGAAATGCCCTTAGAACTGGCCCCTCATAGGCCGGTAAGAACTCTCAGAGGCCAGTAACCACCGAGGTGCCCATAAAAGCCGCAAGAGGCCCTCAGAAGCCGGCGTGGGGCCCTTATGGAGATCTTAGTGTGGCTATTTAGGGCCCATGAGGTGCTCTAACGAGCCCCATGGGACCCTTCTGAGTAGAAATATGGCCATCGTTAACCCTCAGCGGTCAAATGGCGCCGTAGGGCCCCTCGGACACGAGGGTCCCTTTGAACCCAATGGGGGGGGGGGGGGTACGTGTCCCCTTAGACCCCTAGCTACGCCACTGTTTCATATGCATCATGTCAGGTATTTTAGGCTCGCCCCCCCCCCAACTTGAAAATCGTTCCCGGGCCCCTGCGGGCCGCTCATATTGAGATTTTTCCGTTATATTGAAAAGACTTCGCTTCGCTCGCTGCGCTCGCTCGCTCGTAATTACTCACTAGGTATAGGTATCCAGTTTCTCCGAACCAATTCATGGCAGCTCGGGTCCCGAATAATGCACTTTTGATCGTAATTAGTTTTATTCCCTTTATTCGCAAAAACAAACTCAGGGGCGGCGGATTGCGCAAAAAAGGGGTGCAGCAGGTGTGGTGTGCCGTTGTAACTTGCATCCTCCCAGTCCCAACCAAAGGGGTGCAAACATAGCTTTTTGTTCCCCGAAAATCCGTAATGCTGCTTTTCAAGGGGTCCGTCGAACCGTAGCTTGCATTTCATATGGAACACTAGTGGCCAGAATTCGGTAAAAGCCGATGTGAGGCAATCGAAAGTCCACCACGGTTAGGGGTATGACCAGACCAGCGCAGGGCACCACACCGGGCTTGGTGCCCCATGCTGGCTCTGAGGGCAGGGCCTCCAAAGCAGGCACTGAAGGTCATGGTGACGCAGGCTCCTGGGGCCAACCTAGTCGCTGAGGGCCCACACGAACCCACGACAACCTCTGAGGTCCCCATGTATGCTTTTGGGGCCATGCTGGCCTGTGAGGAATGAGGACCCTCAAGATACGGGGTCAGAGGCGGGTCCAGCTCAGAGTTTTTTTTTTTTGGGGGGGGGGGCAAACCATAACAATTTATCGATTCTTTCCATGCATCGTCCATAGGCGTAATGTTAAAATCATGCCGTTTGGGGGGGGCAAATGCCCATTTTGCCCCCCCCTGGATCCGCCACTGTACGGGGTAGATACTTTACTTCTTAACAAAATGGGCAGAAAAATAACAAGTAAGTAAA